TATATTCGGCCGTGACCAATCACAGGCTGCCACGAGGAAGCAGGGCGGGAATAGGACGCAGGCTCTGGCTACTATATCCAGCTGTGGCCAATCAGGGGTTGCCACAGAGTCCGCACGGGGCGAATACGGAGTGAGCACGAGGTGCGCACGGGTTGGCTAATTTAGAGAGGGATGTAGCAAAAAAAAAAAAAAAAAAAAAAAGAGAGGGACATTGCGGAAGCTGGCGTGGTCCTTAGTCCCGGGTGGGGTATGGTATGTTGAGCGCCTGCACCCAACATGTTTGTGTATTTTGTCTTTCAAACAGCTAGCTTTAGGCTTTGTGGATCATTCTGAAATTGTTGATTTCCTTTCAGTTCATATCATTTTTATTGCTTCCTCTCTCCCACTGTTTTTAAATCTTCCTTGTTGAAAGCTTTGCTCGTGTATGCTTAAGTCATTCCTGCTTCAGAGCAAATGCACTTAAGGCTCCGTGTTTCTCTGTAAATGTCATTTTAGTTGCGTTCCATACATGTTATTTTGCATTTATTTCTCTTCTGTACCATCAGATAGTCCCATGTAATTTCAGTTGCGGTCTTTGGAGGGGCTCAGTAACTAACTTTCCTTCCCACCCTGGATTCTGAGCCCAGAGATGAGACAAAGATTCAGCAGCAAGGGCACCAGAAAAGAATAATTTTTAAAAAACAAAAAAACTGCTCAGCCGTACAAGCACCTGCATGCACAAGGTTGTAGGTTGGATCCCTGGTACCAAAAAAAAAAAAAAAAACTGACCATGGCATGGTGGTGCACATTTGTAATCCCGGCCCTCAGGAGGCTGAGGCAGAAGGATCCTTGCAAATTTGAGACCAGCCTGGGCTACAAAGTGAGCTCAAAGCCAGCCTGAATTGCATAGTAAGACTCTGTCTCAGAAAATGCAAAAAACAAAACAAAAAAACCCAAAACTGATACAAGATTGAAGGATGAGGGTCATTGTGACAGCTGTAGGTTACCTTTTTTTCTTTCTCTCTTCCTTTTTCTTTGTGATAAGGGGTCTTGCTATGTAGTCCAGGCTGGCCTTGAACTCATGGGGATCCTCCTGCTTCAGCCTCCTGAGTGCTGGGATTACAGCAGTATTGCTAGTGGGCTTCTTCGTACTGAGAATAGGCATTTGGCAACTTTTTCCTGGTCGCAGTGGTGGTGCTGGGAGTGGTGGGGGAGATGGGTGGAGTGAGCTGTGGGCAGCTGACTCCCAGGCAGAGAAAAGGGCACTTAACCACAGGTGAGGACTGGGTGAGGCAGCTGTTGCCTCCTAGGCCTGGGGGAAAGGGGCAGAGGTGGAGTGTGCGGCAGGATTCAGTTCCCTCTACATGTGGGGAAACATTCGGAGCAGGAGAGAAACGTTCCTACAATCCCTTCCTCTTGACTCGAACGAGACCTGAGTGTTCTTCCCAGGTGTCAGAGCTGTGGTTGTTTTTCTCCGCCCTTGGGTATGCACAGGTCTATTTTTGGATTCCCTGTTCTGTCCCATTGATCTGTTTGCCCATCCTTAAGCCAACATCTCACATTTTGATTACCCTACCGCTTTAATTATTTTTTTTTTACTTTTTTTTTTAAATCTTTTTATCGGTACCGGGGATTGAACTCACGACCACCTGCTTGCAAGGCAGGTGCTTATGCTGCTAAACTAAATCCCCAGCCCCTCTACCGCTTTTAGTCTAGTGCTTGACAAATAAGCCCTGTTATTTTATTAACTCATATGTTAATAGGTGGGGACTCTGTGACCCCCGGCTGCTCATCCTGAGGAAGGGCTGGAAGTGTCCCCTGTCCCAGGACCGCTGGAGACCTCATCTCCCAGCTCAGGGCAAACGGTGAAGACTCAGGTGTGCAACGGTCACACTGTGGTTCTCTGCAGGCCCTGGGGTCCCGCCAGAAGAGGACGGTGGATTCTGGGCTCCTTCAGAAGAAGGGAACAGGAAGTCGTGGTTCGCACCCCTGACTGAGTTTGCACCCAGAGCGCCGGGCCACCCCCTGGCCTGCGGGGGGTCCTCTGCCCTCTGAGTTTATGGCCTTCATGGTTCGAGGTTTCTCAGTGTGAAGTTTCTCACTGAGCAGGTGCTCGGCAGCCCGGCCTCAGCTCCCTAAATCATCCCACCGATTCTAAGCCCCAGGGTCTTCTCTTCCTGCGACTCTAACATCTGGGCAAAATGAGCCTCAGACACATTTGCAGCCAGGCATTGTGGTGCCCACCTACCATTCCAGCACTCTGGAGGCTGAGGCAGGAGACTACCTTGAGTTCAAGGCCAGCCTAGGCTACATAGTGAGCCTCTGTCTCAAAAACAAACAAGACCAAGCAAACAAACAAAAAAGGGTTGGGGATATAGCTCAGGATGAAAGCCCTGGGTTCAATCTTCAGTAGAACAAAACAAAAACAAAAACAAAAAAAAAAACAACACGAACAAACACACTTGTCCAAGGACACCCTCAGCCAGGGGGCAGAAAAAGCTCTCAGATCCACGCTGACGCTGGTCAGCGCAGTCTCCTTCCCCGCCCAGGGATAAATGAGACAGATACTGAATGTTAAGGAAAACAGGAAAGGCCCGCTGACATCCCCAGGGCCGGAATCTGACCCTTCCCTACCTCAGGGCCTAGCTACACCCAAGGGTGGTCGAGGCGGCAATTGGAGCCATAGTGGCCCAGGAGCACGGGAAGGGGCGCACTGCGGAGGGGTAAAAGGTCGCTGCTTGCAGCTAGGTGCCAGGCAGGTGGGGCGGCCCAGGAGGGGAGGAAGGCTGGAGGCGAATGGGAGCCCCCCCCTTTCTCCAGGCGGAGCGACGCGACCCACTGCAGGGGCTGGCGTGGGCAGCCACTGGCAGGACCCAGCCTGCGGGCGGGCCCGACGTTAGCATCTGGGGGAGCAGGGCTGTCTCCCGGGCCTGCCGGGGCGGAACAGGGGCGCTGGGAAGGTGAGCTGGGCCGCTCCCCGCACGCGGAACAGGGCTGCCCGCGGAGAATTTTTCCACTGCCAAAGCCTGAGGCTTCCAGACAGCCCCTTCTCTCTCGGGCGGCCCCGCCCCCGCCCCCCCCGCCCCCCCCGCCCCCCTCCTTCCTCCCCTCCCCCGCCCTTTACCCACAGCCCCGTTCGTCCCAGCCCCGCCCACTCCGGCAGCCCCGCCCCACTCTTCCCGCCCCCTCCATCCTGCGGCTCCCCGGCCGCCCTGAGGCTCCGCCTCTCCTCGCAGGCACCTACCCGTTCTCTCCTAGCCCCGCCCACTCCCGCTGCGCAGGCCCCGCCCCCGCCGCTGGGCGCGTGTACATCTGCGCCTCCTGTCACCCCCACCTTCGCGTCCCTTCCCCACGCTTCCCTCCGCCCCCCCCCCCGTTCCGTCCCACCCCCACCCCGTTTTGTCTAGCGTGCCTTCGTCTGGGGCGGAATCCCCAGATTCTGGGTCTTTGCAGGCCACCGTGGTGGAGAGAGGCCTGGCGCCTTCCTAGGCCACCGAAGCCCACTGTGTGCCCAGGGCTTGTTGAGGCCACCAGTGACCTCCAAAGGGCAAAGCGGATCGTCACAGAGCCAGGAAGGGCCAGGGATCGTGGGTCTCATACGGCCCAGGGTGATAGGATTCATGGGATGCTGGCACTTACTAGCCCTGCACCCCCAATTCCACAACTCATCCCCAGGTGGGACCCTTCGCCATCTGCCCCAGCAAACAGTGCTCAGAAGATGGCTCAGGAGGAGGGGGTCCCGACCGCATCCCACCTCTCACCAAAGCCCAGGAACTGCAAGGCACCTAAAGCTGTTATACTGGAGTTTCGAGCCTGTAATTGTGTTTACTGAGCATTTACTACGTGGCAGCAGTGTGCTAGGCCATTTATGTGTGTTCTCTTCTTCCCTGTTAATCACCAGGCCCTGCTCTTGCCAGGCACTGTGCCAGGTGTTGGGGACAAGAGGCAAAATGGCCCAGGTCCTCAGGGTGCTCTTAGTCTGCAAGAAAGAGGATAAATGAATTAAAATGAAATGCAGAACCGGGTGTGGTAGTGCATATCTGTAATCTCAGCACTCGGGAGCCTGAGGCAGGAGGATCACCAGTTCAAAGCCACATAGTGAAACTGTTTCCAAAAAAAACGGTTGGGTGGACATCAATAGTGTACCCACAAAACAACAACAACAACAACAAAAATAGTGTACCCACTTTACAGATTAGGAAACTGAGGCTCAGAAAAGTGACATTCCTCTAGGATGGGGCAAAGCAAGCAAGCTCTGGAACCCAGGCCTCTTCCCTTACCCTCCAGTTCCATCCTGGGTTTGCAAGCCTTCCTTTGGGATGGCAGTTGTGCAGTAAATTAAGGACCTTAAACTAGGGAGATTACCTGGGTGATCTGGTGGGGTCCCAGGTGTCACTGCAGAGGTCATTGTAAGAGGATCAGATGGAGAAGAGGAAAGGCTGATGTGAAGAGGGGTGGGGCCACAAGCCCAGGGCTGCTGGTGGCCACTGCAAGCCAGAAGTGGCTGGACATGAGGCTTCTCTGCCAGAGCCTCTAGAGGGAGCCCAGGCCACCCTGGAGGTTGGCTTGGGACAAAAAAAAAACGACACAGCACGTTTCTGGTGTTTGAAGCCACCAAGCCCCCAGCCAGTGGTACAGGGAGGCAAGGAATTACAGCAGAATGTTGCTAAAATGCAGGTTTGGGGCTGGGGATTTAGCTCAGTGGCATAAGCACCTGCCTTGCAAGCAGGCAGTCGTGAGTTCGATCCCTGGTACCGATAAAAAAGAAAAAGACCAAAAAAAAAAAAAAAGGTACTGGGGATTGAACTCATGACCGCCTGCTTGCAAGGCAGGTGCTTATGCCGCTGAGCTAAATCCCCAGCCCCTGGAGCATGATGCTTTATCTTGAAACAAGGTCTCACTAAGTTGTCCCAGCTAGGCTTCCTCATGATCCTCCTACCTCAGCCTCCTGAGTAGCTGGGATGACAGGCATGTCCCATCTATATATTTTTTTTATTTTTTGTCTTTTTTCTTTTTATCAGTACCGGGGATCGAACTCACGACTGCCTGCTTGCAAGGCAGGTGCTTATGCCGCTGAGCTAAATCCTCAGCCCTTCACCTATATTTTTAAGCATCCTCATATGACGTGCCACACTGGATTTTGGAGTACACACAGAGATGGGAGGAGCTCCATACCGAACAAGAAGGGGACATGATGTGAACTGGCCAGTTGGTTCCCTTCTGGTCCTGGCAGCCTCTTTGTGCCCTGAGGACCCAGCCCTGTGAAACTCACATGTGTTCTGCTACCACCTGCCCCAGGGCCTTGACACAACCTGTCACCCCTCCTCCACCATCTTCATCCTTCCACATGGCCAGCGGCCCTTTGGTGTCGATTTCCTTCCCAACTTCAGTGGCACCTTACTGTCATTTGTCACACTGGACTCTGTCATTGTGGAGGCCTGGAAAGGGCTTTCTGTGTTTGAAAGGCCAGCTCTTCTGCCATGGGGCCTCCAGTGTCCAGCCTGGCCTTCGGTGGCAGGTGGCCAGACAGACCTCAAAGTGCTCTGTAACCCAGCAGGGCCAGAAGTGCAACCCCTGGGAGGCCTCTCACGTGTGAGCTTGACACAGGAGATCGAGTGGCCTATGTAGCAGGTTCAAGGCCAGCCTGTCCTACAGAGAAGACCCTGTGCCAGAAAACAGAGAGAGTCAGTGAGGGAGAGAGAGCGCAAACTCAGGTTCTTACCAACTGTGACGTGCACCTGGAGGAAGTAGAAGCCCCGGGCCAGGCTCGTGTGGCCCCTGCCCCGCCCAGTCCAGCCAGGGGTCCCCTGAGGCTGTGGTGTGGCCAGGCCGGAGGCAGAGTCCCAGTTCTCACCTTTCTGAGAAAAGAACCCTGAGAGGTCAGGGTCGTCCCTGTCCCCTTCCCTCCACCTGGAAGGTCCTGCCTTGGGGGCAGGGGATGGAGGAGACAGGTCCCACTGCCCTGGCTTCCGGCCGAGGGGCTGGAGGATGCGGTGAGAGGCTGGGTGGCCCTGTGTGCCCTCCACCCTGACACAGGCTTGCTCCAGCCAGGACCTCAGGGGCCGCAGTGAGAGGATTTCAGAGCAGTCTCCCCTTTCATGCAGTCCCCACCACCCCTGCATCCTGGCTGAGAGGAGGCCGCTTCCTGGGGTCCGTCAAGGCCTGGCAGCAGAGCCACCACTATGGTGACATCAGGTGTGACCTGCGGGTAGGCCCCGCCAGGCATGGCCACCTGGACGCATCTGGGAGGGGCAGGAGCTTGGGGGAGGGTGTGATCACTACCAGCCTTGAGGAGCCTGGGTAAGGTACTCAGGACAGAAGGGCCAGTGATTGGCCCTTGTCACTTTGCTGCTTCCTGCCCGCCATGAACTCTTTCTTCCCTGTGTCGCCCCTGTGCCAGGCCACCCTGCCTTGGGGCCAGCCAACCATGGACTGAAACCTCTACAAACTGTAAGCTAAATAAACTTTTCCTTCCTTAACTTTAGGCATCTGGTGTTTGGTCTCAGCAACAAGAAAAGTAACTAAGACAGAATTCAGTCCAAAGACCATGGGGAGCAGAAGGCTTGCAGCTGGGGAGGCTGGGGTCAGTTCTGCAGGCTGGAAAGATCTGAGAGGCCAGAGCATGCCCTGGGGAGAGGGAAGAGCCTCCATCAGCAGCTGGAAATGGAGGCGGGTGAACAAATTCACTGCTACTTCTGGCCACTCCAGAGCAACAGCAGGACACATCTACTGTCCCACTGAAACAGCCCGAAAACCCAAAGAAATCTGCAACAGCACTGTCAGAGGTAGGGAAAAAACCACCAGAGAGGACAGAGGAGAGAGCTCGGGAGCTCACGCAGGCCTGGGAACAGCGCCTCCCCGGCTAGACTGCGAACACTAACTCCATAAATACCAGGTGGGCAGCCCAGAAGGTGCGTGTGACAGTGCACACTGGTAATCCTAGCGTTTTGGGAGGCTGAGGCAGGAGAATAACAAGTTCAGGCCTGGCCTGGGTCTCTTGGTCACTTAGCCAGACCCTACCCTAGGACGAAAAATAAAAAAGCTTTGGACATGGAACCCAGTGTAAGGGCCCTGAGTTCAGTCTCCAGCAGAAAAACAAAACAAGCAAAACAAAAAGCCAAAGATAAAGATAGGACCCAGGAAGCAGAGACTAATGAATGGACTGAAGCCAACCCAGCCTGGGCACAGATGTTAGAACTATCAGATCTTCCTGCCTCAGCCTCCTTAGAGAAGGACTATACACCAGCTATTAAATCACATTCCATATCTGCACAGAGTTAAGTGGAGACATGGATGACCCCATCTCAGAAAACAAGAAAAAGAGCTGGGTGGGTGGCACACACCTGTCATCCCAGCACTCGGGAGGCTGAGGCAGGAGGATCCCTGCAAGTTTGAGGCCAGCCTGGGCTACAAAGTGAGCTCAAGGCCAGCCTGAACTGCATAGTGAGGCCCTGTCTCAATGAATCAAAACAAAACAAAGCAAAACAGACAAACCAAGAAAAAATAATCCAAAAGAAGAGGAAGAGAAAGGAGGAGCAGAGAACCCACGAGCCACAGGGTCACCCCAGAGAGCCCAACTGTGGAGAACTCGGGTTCCTGCAGGGAAGTAAGAAGGGGCCAGGATGACCCGAGGGTCTGGGTGTAGCCCAGTGGCCAGGCACGTGTGAGAGCTGGGGTTGCCTCCCTACGAAACTACACAAAACAGCAAAGTAATCAAAACCACAAAAATACCAGAAAGGATGATGTCTGAACTGTTCCCAAACATAATGAAATCTTATTTTATTTTATTTTATTTTATTTTTTTGAGACAAAGAGCTCTCTTTGTGGTTCAGGTTGGCCTTAAACTCACTAGGTAGCCCAGGCTGGCCTCAAACTCATGGTGATCCTCCTGCCTCAGCCTCCTGATTGGTGGGATGACAGATGTGGGCCCCATGCCTGACCAAAGGAAATGAAGTCTCTCAGCTCAAGGAATCCCAGGTACAAACCTCCATGAGGCAGGCGGGGAGGGATGGAGACAAGAATGATGACCCAGCTTCGGGCTGGGGACCTGGACCTGAGGGCAGCGTGCAGATGGGGCAACGCTGGGGTCACTGGGCCGAGGGCACCCAGGGCAGCAGGTGTGACAGGTCTGGCATCCAGGTGGTAGGACCAGTGAGTGCGGGGGTGGTGGGCACTGCCAGAGAAGCTCAGGACACAGCTTCAAGTAACCAGGGGGCAAAGCAAGGCGGGGTGTGGTGCACACGAGTCACCCCAGCCCTTTGGGAGGCTGAGGCAGGAGGATGGAAAGTTAAAACCCATTGTGGGCACGACTTAGCCCCTATCTCACAAAATAAACTCAGGCAGGGCATGCAGCTCTGTGCGAAGGCCCTGGGTTCAGTCCCCATCACCGGGAGAAGAAACAAAAAACCAAAAGGGATACGGAGGGGCCAGAGAAGGGCAGCAGGGACGCAGGGAGCCAGGTGGCGGCAGAGCTGTGACCACAGAGCGGCCACCAGTGACCCTGGCAGTGCTTAGAGGTCAAGTCCAGGAACTGCTGCTCCGGATCCCTCCAGGCTGGCCCGGCCCCAGCGAGCCTGTCAGAGGCCGCCGTACAGAAAGTGACAGACAAAAAAAAAAAAAAAAATAGTGACAGACACCGAGCATCCCTGTAGCCCCAGGGCTCCGAGACTCTCCCTGGCCAGGGGCCCAGGAAGTCGGAGGTTGGCGAGGCCACCTGAGGTCTTCTCCCCTGCTAGTCTTAGGGCCCGGGGAGCCGCAGGGGGACCCTGCCCATCATCGCCTGAGCTCATCGCCTGCCAAGACCCCAGCGCCGGTCCCAGTCAGCACCGCGCACCAGCAGCGGGCCAGCACCTTCCCGGGCCATGGCTTGGACATCGTTCAGGACTTGCGTGCACGGAGGTGGACACGGCATGCGGCGCGGGAGCCGCCCACGCGCACGCACGCACGCACACGTGTGGGTGCAGGAGAATCGTCTGCGTGCACAGGAAAAGAAACCACGCTCAGACGCACCCAGCTTCCAATGCCCTGTGCCCAAGGACACAGACATGAAAGAGCAAAATAAAAGCAAGTGGGAAGCAGGGAGGCGGCGCCTCTGCAAAGCCAAGGGCACCCCGAAATGGAGGAAGGGACGGAGGGACAGAAAGACAATGCAGGCCGAAGTTGTGTTTCGCTGTCCGCGTGCACCAGCTCCCCATGAGGAACGGCGTCAGGGCGCATGGCAGACGCCAGCTAACGAAAACAAAAATTAAAGCAGCAGAGCCGCCGGGGAGGTGGGCACCGAGTCTCGCCGCCGTGCAGGCGGTCATTGCTTGCACATGCGTGGAGCTCTGGGGCTCTGTGAAGCCACTGCACATGCTTGTGTATATCACAGAAGCGTGCACTCACGCAGACGTGTGCTGCAAACAAACACAGGCAGGTAGGGCGCGTGCAAGGCCTGCACACGGCTGCGTGGAGTTACACGTAGGCCGGTGTGCACACGTGCAGCTGTTTACACACGTGTAAACATACATTAGCCAACTCCTCCTGCCTCAGCCTCCCAAATGCTCGGATTACAGGTGTGTGCAGCCTCATCCTGCATTTCCTCCGGATCTGGGAGGGCACAAGGGGCCAGATGATCCTGTCCCCAGCTGTGGCCACTTTGCCCAGCACATTTCCTAGCTGAAGCTGCACCATGCCAAGCAGGTGGGTGCTGGAGCCTGAGAGAGACTTAGGGACAGGGTTTCCAACCCTTCTTTGGTAACAGGGATCGAACTCACAACCTTGCACTTGCCAGGCAGATGCATATGCCACTGAGATGCATCCCCAGCCCTCAGCCACTCTTTGTAGACTCGGCAGGGTCAGGACCATGCTCAAGCCCCACACTGGGGTCACATGCTGACCGCACCTCCCCAGCAGGCTGGCAGGGCCTCAGGTGCCAGTGTCACCCCTAGCTGTCTTCGCCTGTGCCCTGAAGGCCACAGCTACCCCCTCCCACAGCCCCTCCAGGAGCCAGTGCTGGGGTCCTGAGGTCTCTGCTTCCTGTGCTGACACGGACACCTCCCCTCTCTGAGCTTCATGTTCTCACCTGCAAACCAGGGACTTGATGTTCTGAGTTCACAGGAAGAATCAGTGGTGTAAACACAACAAAAACCCTGAACAGTTAGTTCGACCTGTCAATCCAACACTGTGGGAGACTGAGGCAGAAGGATCACGAGTTCCAGCACAACCTGAATATTTAAACCTAAAAATGCCTATTTTGTGTGTGTTTGTGTTTGCTTGCTGGTTTTTTTGTTTGTTTGTTTGTTTGTTTTTGAGACTGGGTCTCACAGGATCATTCACGCTGGACTTCAGATCACTATGTGACCCACGGTGGCCTTGAACTCCCAGCGACCCTCCTGCCTCAGCCTCCCCAGTGCTGGGATTACAGGCGTGCACCACTGCACTCGCCATCAAGATTAAAAACAGCAAAAAATAAAAATGAAAAAGGCTGGGGGTGAGGTCAGTGAACAGGCTCCACCGAGCGCTAACCCCGGCCGCAGGGCCCCGCGGGTGCCCGGGCCATAGGGCGCGGCTGGGTCGATGGGTGGGGGCGGGACCGCCTGCCCTCGCCCGGGTCCGCAGCCGCCGCTCGCCTGCCCGCGAGGATCGATAACTCATTTCGTCGCCACCGCGGCCGCCCCAGCTTCTCCCCGATAATTGCGCGGCGGCGGCGACCAAGGCCGCCGCGCTCGATCGATGGAGCCGCCCCCGGGCGAGGGAAGCGCGACGCTCCCGCCCCGGCTCCACGGCGCGCAGAGGCTTCTAGGGCACTGGGGAGGCCCAGGGACCCGTGGGCGGGAGCCGCACGGACCTGGCCCCGCCCGTTTTATTGTTTTGCTTTTTGAGACAAAGTCTCCTACATGGCTCAGGCTGGCCCCCAACTCGAGGTGATTTTTCTGCCTCAGCCTCCTGGATGCTGGGATTACAGATGTGCGCCATCACTTCCAGCTTCACCTATGAGTTTTTCTGGATGCGCAGGCCACCTCTGACTTGGGGACGCGAGGACCAGATAGGGCCAGGACTCCGAGTTCCAATCCAAACTGCACCACTTTCCAGTGTGCCTCAGTTTCCCTTCTCTCCAAGGGGGCCTGGCTTGGTCCCAGGCCCACCACAGAGGTGTCGCTCGGAGGCAGTGAGACAGCGCTTCAGGCTGGTCCCATGCGTGGCCACGCGCTTTTTCATGCATGCACAGCACAGGATGTCAACGATGAGCCGACGACGACAGAGGCCACGGAGAGGAACCCAGCGGAGCGAACGGAGGAGGCGGCGGCGCCGGGCGGTGGGCGGGGCGTGCGCTGCACAGGAGCCCTGCAGAGCTCAGCCTCGGCATTCAAGGGTCTTCAAAAGGGTCTCCAAAAGGGCCTCAGGCGCGGCGTTCAAGGTCTCCAAAAGCTGTCCCCTGGCATACGGGGAGGTGGTGGGTAGTGAGCTGGGTGTGCGGGACGTGAGGTTCTGGGGGTTCCCTGGGTTGTGTATGGAGCCCCACCTGGAGGGACCTTGCCTCAGTTTCTCCATCCCCACAGTACAGCTGGTGGGGAGAAGAGGGAGCCTGGGCCCTTCGACCTCCAGCAGCCGCAGCCCCAGGAGGGGAGGAGTGGCGGTGACTCAGCGTAGGAGGAGAACACTGAACCTCAGCGCAGGGCTCTGCCCCAAGAGCCGCGTGATCAGGGAGGGCCCCACCTGCCCTGCTCTCAGGGTTTGGCCCAGCTAGCCATGCTTCGGGATCTAGGACTGGACTCTGTCTGCCATGTGACCCAGGCAGGTCCCTCGCCCCCTGTACCCCTGGGTGACCCAGGACAGTTCCGCCGTGGAGTCGTGCCCAATCTGGCGAGGACATCACCCCAAGACATCTCCTGTCCCTGAGAGAGGAACAGGAGAAGCAGGAAGGCAGGAGAGCTCTCATCTGCCCACCTGTGAGGGAGGAGTGGCCTACGGGGGACCTCGAGTCCCCTCATCCTGCCACTGTGGAGGGTTCCGGCAGCTGGCCATCTGCAGGGGAGTCTGGTGGTCAGTGTAGCAGCTGCCCTGAGGCCATGGGGGGAGGGGCTCCACTGGATGTGGGATGCGGCCCCCAGACTCCAAGCCTTGACCACAGCACAGACTTGGGGCCAAGGCCCTGGTCCAGCAGGAAAAGCAGGGTTACTACTGGGGACCAGGGGTGCAGGCCAGTAATCCCCACCGCAGTGCAGCAACTCACACGAACCTTGTCTCAAAATAAAAAGTAAAAAGGTCTGGGATACAGCTCAGCGCAAAGGCCCAAACAAGAAAGAACAGGGCACAGTGTGCACAGCCATCAGGCCAGCATTCTGGGAGGCTGAGGCTGGACAATCACAGGGTCAAATCCAGCCTGGACAATTTATGGACTATGGCAAGACTCTGTCTCACAATAAAAAGCAGGGAAGGGCTGGCGATCGGTGTGAAGGCCCTGGATTCAATCCCCACACTGGGGGAGGAGACAGGGAGAGAGAGAGAGAAAAAGAGAGAGGGTGAGAGACAGAGAGAGGGAGAGACTTACCATGTTGCCCAGGCTGGCTTGAACACCTGAGAGTCAGCCTGTGGAGCGGCTAGGACTCTGGGCCCCTGCACGTGGCTCTGGCCTTTAGCACAGGACCCTAGACACCCAGGCACATGTGTCTGTCTCCATCCCTCCTCTTCATGGACACCGAGGCATTTTGTTCCTGCGTTTTTCAGACAGGGTTCACTGTGGAGCCCACGCTGGCCTCGAATCTGACGAGATCCTCTTGCCTCAGCCTCCCGAGGGCTGGGATAACAGGCCACACCACAGCAGTGGCAGCCTGAGGTCTTTGAGGCCAAGGGTGCACCGAGGGCAGCAACCAGGCGGTGGCTGTGTCCAGGCAGGGCAAGCTCTGCCCCAGGTGCGCCTAGTTCCTCCATCTCTGTCCCCACAGCCTCCCCTCCAGCCTCCTCTGCGGCCCTTGCCGCCCCTTGGGTCTCCTCTGATGGCTGCAGCAGCGCCGAGGTTTCCGTGCCTTCCCTCCCCTCCTGCCTTTGAGGGCTCCTCTCCCTCCAGCTGCACATGCACGCGCGCACACACACACACACACACACACACGCATGTACACCCACACACACGCACACACCCACACACCGCTTTCTCTCCTGTCCTCCTAATCCCTGCTGCACACCAGCCTCACAGGGTTTCCGGGGCTCCCCCTGCAGGCCACGGCCCAGCCCCCCCCCCCCCCCTGAGGACAGGGCTGGAATCGCATCTTTCCGGGAGAACCTCGCTCCAGACAGCCTTCCCTTCCTGGGCAGAGGAGGCCGCAGTGGGGAGGTGGACAAGGGGCCAGAGGTCTCCCTGAGGACCACCGAGGAGCAAGCCCAGCCCCTTTGACCACGTCTGGCTCTGTGCGACTCCCACTCTCAGCGAGAACCCTCGAAGACCCCCCTGCAGGGGATGAGAAAGCTGGGGGGCAGCAGCACACCCTTGGCTCCAGGCTGGGCAGGATGGAGAGGGCACAGCCCTAGACAGAGGGCATTGCGGGGCAGGAAACCTGTGCCCTGAAGCCAGGGGAGCCTCCTCTGTGATGAGGAACCTGAGGTTGAGGGAGAGGAAATGCTTGGCCTGCAGTGACACTCATGCATTCATTCTACAAACATCAGTTGAGCAACTCCTGGTGCCCGGGACTCTGCTGGGCGGGGAGACAGAGACAAGGGGGACAGAGCTGTCCCAGCCTATCAGGTTGTGCTGGGGAGAAACTGCACGGTCCCCAAAGCAGGAGGGAGGGACCCAAGGAAAGGAGCAGAAAGGAGGGAGGGCGGGAAGCAGCCACTGAGCTGGTGGTGTGAGGCTGCCTGCAAACTGCTCACTAACGCCTGCATGCGCGCACGCGCGCGCACACGCGCACGCGCGCGCACACGCGCACGCGCGCGCACACGCGCGCGCACACACACACACACACACACACACACACACACACACACAGAGCGGGGGCAGAGGCACAGAAACCGCTCAGCGCCGCACAGCCGCCACTTCTGCTCTGATCTCCTGGTCCAGCAGGAGCTGGGGGTAGGGCACGTCCTTCCCCTCCGGCCCCTCCCCTGTGACCCTGTGACCCCAGCCAGGTCTCCGCCCCTCCTCCCATTCAGCGCAGGGGCCCTGGCCAGGGCGGAGGTCACGCGAGGTCAGGGAGGAAGGAAGTGGCCCCAATGTCCCCGCTGCGCCCCACAGAACCCGCGGTATCCGTGCATAGTGCGGCCCCTCCCTCGGCCCCCTCCTGGCCCGCGCTCTGACAGGTCACTTGTGTCCCAGTGCTGAGCGCAGGGCAACACCTTGGGACTTGGGATGCCCCTCCTGTGGGAAGCAGCTCACGCTCCCCACACCCTGCGCGTTGTACTGAGCACCCACAGTGGGTATGGGGTGGCCTCTGGCTTCCTGTAGGAGACTGAGGAAGGGCCCAGGCGTGTGGGGGCTGTGGGCGGGGGAGGGAGGCCGGAGACCCAGAGGCCGGGAAGTTGCAGAGAACATGGCTCCGGATGCTCAAGGCCTGTGGAACACACCCGGGTACTTACTGACCCATACACACCTGAGCGCACACCTGCTGTGGATTCGGAGCACCTGTCTCCCGAGAGCCCCACACACCTGGCCCAGATGAGGTGTGGTGAGCGGACATGTATGGGGGTGTCACCCCCTGAGACTCTAGGGCACAGCTGTGCTGCCCTGGAGGACATTTTCCTGCCTCTGGCCCAGTGGCTGCACTGGATTCCTGGGCTGTCCTGGATGGAAAGTCCCAGACAGGACTCCTGGGTGGCCTGGTCACTTTCCAGAGCAAAGCCACATGCACTGTCTCTTTGTCTTCCTGGACCATCAGAACTGGCTGAGAACTGGGAGAAGGGCTGGTGGACCCTCTGCCTCAGTTTCCCCTGGTTCCTGTAACTAATGAACAAAGTAGTTTGGCTTGAACAATGCAAATGTGTTTTTTTACAGCCTGGGCCTGGGGAGCCCAAGGTCGGGGTGTCCATGGGATGCACAGCCCCAGGGAAAAGGGGTGTCCTGTTGTTCTGGTGTCTCCAGGCCACCAGCAATCCTGGGCTTGTGGCCCCAGCCCCCTCCTCAAAGCCAACAGTTGCTGGCACCCAGCTGAGGGCCAGGTCCTGACTTAGGCCCGCTTCAGCTGGAGCCTGGTGCTTTGTGAAGAAGAGGGTGCTTTTGGTTCACAGTTTTGGGGGCCAATAGGCCAAGCCCAGATGGCATTGTGTTGCGGCAGCGCTTGGAGCCAGAAAGACTCAGGGGCCAGGCTGTCAGGGAAACTAGGCCTCCTGCAGGGCCATGCAGAGGGGACTCTGTGTCCTGGGCCGAGGGCACTTCCAGGGAGCTGTGAGCAGGGATCCCCGCTCTGCAGTCCCAGTGATGATCTTCGCTGCCCCCTGCCCAGGAATGGATGTGGATTTTGAGCTCTCCAGCATCTACCACAGATTAAGGGTGGTTTGGGGTCCAGGGCACAGACTCAGGTCTTCATGGAGCCTCCCCTCTACCTGAAGACCCTGGATCCTGCAGAGAATTCATTATATAGCCCAGATTGGCCTTGACTCATTGGCGATCCTTCTGCCTCAGCCTCCCAGGTGCTGAGATTACAGCATGCTCATCTCATCCCCTGCCTAGGGCTCCTCCCCACAGCTGCCAGCTCCTCCCAGGCCTGGCCCAGTCTCCAGTTCCTCCCTGCTGGTTGGCATGACTGATGTGCATGCTCCCGTTCTTGGAACGGAGCAGAGCTTCAGCCCAGGGCACAGTGGGGGAGAATTCAGTGCATCCGGGAAGTTGGTTGGGAAGAGCATTCCCGGTGTTTCCACCTCTGGTGACAGCATAGGGGCAGAGACACCCAGGGAATTCAGTACCCAGGGCTCCTGTGGCACCAAACCCAGACAGAGCAGGGAGACCTCCCGGAAGAGCCCTGGGCAGACACAGACCGGGTGGAGCGGGGACTCCTGGCCAGGCAGTGTCTCTTGGCTTCTTGGAGATCAGTCAAGGAGGCTGTGCTTCCCCACCGCAGATCCAGGGCCCCAGGAGCCTGGTAGGGGGCCACCCTGGCTCTGTACTGCCTGACGCCCTATCCTGTTCCTTTTGAGGCACATGAACACACAAGCAGCCCAGCTGAGCCTGGCCTTCACTCTACAGCCACAAAATATGGAGAGAAATGGGAAGTGGAATGGCACCAGCGCTGGGTCCAGGTGGCCCTGGGTTCAAAGCCCACCTGCTGCATAACGTCAGAGTGTCTGGGACAAGAATGTTTTTGTTTGGTTTTTGAGACAGGATCTCACTATGTGGTTCAGGCTGGCCTTGAATTCAAAATGTAACCCAGGCAGGCCTTGAACTCCCAGTGACCCTCCTGCCTCAGCCTCCTGAGAGCTGGGCCTACTGGTGTGTGCTGCCATGCCTGGCTACACAGGTGATTTAACCCACTCCTGCTTGCTCTCACCTGAGGGAAAATGCAAGGAGTAAGTGCATGATTATAATGCATTAAATATATGTCAGATATATTATTTCTGGCTAAGAGTGGAGATGTGATTCAGGCTGCTAGGTCTTCTCCCTAAGAACGAATCTCCTAATCCTACATGGGCATATGGCTGCCTAGATGAAAGACTACATTTCCCAGAATCCCTTGCAGCTAGGTAAACTCACATGACCAACTTCTGACCAATGAGATGGCAGTAGAAGTGGTTTGGCCTATTTCCTGGTAGTTTTCTTTAAAAGAATGGTGTTGAGATCTCCTTTGAACTAGACAGAGTGTAAGCACAGAAGCTAGAGCTGGAGCAGCCATTGTGCACTGTGAAGTTCCAACCTTGTGTGTTGAAGGTGGCATTAGGTCCCCTACCAGACGTGGATAACTTGTACTTTAAATTACTGCTATTTGAAGTCTGCCCGTTTTGAGGCATAACCTAGTGCCTTTTTTCTTTCTTCTCACTGGGGATGGAACCTAGGGCCTGGCACATGCTAGGTGCTATCTACCATTGAACTACACCCCAGCCCCTAAATCTTTTTTTTTTTTTTTTTTTTGACAGAGTCTCACTATGTGGTTCAGGCTGGCCTTCAACTCTCTACAATCCTCCTGCCTCTGCCTCCTGAATACTGGTATTACAGGCAAGTGCCACCACACCCAGCCTGAATCTGTCTTAATGGGGCACAATGATAAGAAAAGTACACAGTCCCCGACTTCTGGTGACCTCAGTCTAGTGAGGAAGAGACAGTGACCACGTGAATGAAGCAGAGATCATAACTGCGGCTATGAGAAGCGCTGTAAAGGAAGTGAAGGCTGCGATGAAAACATAGGGCCTGAGGAGGGGCCTCCGGGAGCGCCTGCAACACAGGGATCCTGTGGGACATTGGCACCCCAGCAGCACACTGGAATAAAAAGGTTATGGAGGCTGCCACAAGGCATCATGGGATGCATGTAGGCACTGGTGGGCTGGGCTTCCTGGGGCACCAGCTGGAGCTGAAGGGCCAAGGCGGCAGCAGCAAGGCAGAGATGGGGAGAAGGGCGCCTTTGTAACTTGGGGACAAGGAAGCTGAAGACACTGTGTGAGGGGTGCACCAGGACCCTTCAACTGCCTCTATAGCTGCCCCTAGACTGGCCTGTGCCCCCAGGTTTTCCAGGGTCCCTTCTTGAGGCTACCAAGTACCACCTGAGACTGGGACATGGCAGGATGTCCTCCGGGGACTCCATGCTGGGGACCTGGGCCTGGGAGGAGGCCACAGGGAAGGGAGTTGGCTCTAGGGAGGCCACAAGCAAAGAAGATGCCCCTGACTTCCCCAAAGGTGGCCAAATGTGAGGCCAGGGAAGGAAAAAACAAAGAGCCGGGCGTGGTGGCCCAGGTCTGTAATCCCAGCACTGGGGGGCCGACAGAGGAGGGTCATTGTGAGGGCAGATAAACTCAGGCCCAGAAACTGGCAAGTGCTGGCTGAGACCAGCCTGGGCTACAAAATGAGCTCAAGGCCAGCCTGAACTGCATCTTGACCGGCGCAGCCCCCCAATGAGACAGGAGACGCTCTTGTGGGCGACAGTTAACTGCTGCTTTATTTACGCGGGCTCTGGTTTATATATTTGGCCGTGACCAATCACAGGCTGCCACGAGGAAGCAGGGCGGGAATGGGTCGCAGGCTCTGGCTACTATATCCAGCTGTGGCCAATCAGGAGTTGTCACAGAGTATGGAGTGAGCACGAAGTGTGCACGGGTTGGCTAATTTAAAGAGGGACGTAGTGCATTGCGGAAGCTGGCGTGGTCCTTAGTCCCGGGTGGGGTATGGTATGTTGAGCTCCTGCGCCCAACACATCTCGAGACCCTGTCTCAAAAAGACCAAAAAAAGAGAGGAGTTTTTGGCAAAAGGGACACTGCACGGGAGGTGAGAAGATGGGAGAAGATGGGGACCCCGAAGATTCTGTGCCCGCACCCCCCCCCCCCCGGCCAGGGCAGGGCAGAGGTGGGCTTCCCTCTCACAGGGCCTTGAACAACAGGGTAACTGGTTTCTAGGCTGCTGGGGTGGGGCTCTGGCTGTCCCCCAGAGGTTGCCCGACCTTTAAACAGTTCCCACCCTGTCTCCCTCAGCCTTGCCCCTCACCAACCTCCCAGGCCACAGTGCAGACAGCGGAGCTGCAAGAGGCAGGCCTGGCCTGGCTCCCTTCCATCCTGGCCCCCAGAGGTGCTGTCCTGCTGCCAGCTGGGCCCCCAAAACCCGGGCATTGGAAGTGAGTCGAACCCCATGAGCTGAGCGACCTCAGCCAGCGCTTGCCAGTTTCTGGGCCTGAGTTTACCTGCCCTCTGCTGCTCTGGCGGGGGCCTTTGGGCCCTGAGATGCCTGCAGGGTGCTCAGCAGGGCGCCTGCATGCTCTTGGGGTGCCACAGCACTCACACACATCGTGCAGCCTATCCTGCTGGGTGACCCGCGTGCTTGCCCCCTAGGCCTCTGCTTCCCTGGATGCTGAAGGCTTGTAAGTGGGCGCTCCCTGCTGCTCGTGCTGTCCTCCCACAGTGCTGTGTAGACTTACGGTGCAGGGAGGTGTTTCCCCTTCTGGAGCAAAGGCCACAGTGATCACAGGGTAACAGCCATGTCCCTTGGCCATCACACAGCCTCATATCCCCCAGGTCCCTGTCACTTCATATTTAGGACATCCTCTCCGGTGAGTGGCCTGGAGCCCAGCAGGGGCAAGCAGCCTATCCCAGGTCACACAGCCAGCTGATGACAGGTGTCAAAAAAGTGGGTGGGGACTTTCTGGGGTTCTATCTGGCTGTTAAGCATCCCACGCTGGCCAAGGCCCTAAGGCACAGAGCTGAGGGGGTCAAGTATCCTGGAAGTGACGGAGCCAGAATTTGAACCCAGTGTCTGCTTCCACCGAGGGTCCCAGCCCTGGTCCATCCAGGACTGCAGCACTGCCACCCTACCGTCACCCCATGGCCAGTCGCCTCGATACAGTGAGGGGCCGTCTGCATGGGCCTCCCTCACGGCTCCAGGTACAGCCAGGCCAGTGGCATGGGACGGGTGCCCAGGTAGCCAGCAGACGCCAGCTCAGCCCAGTGTTGAAAATTCCTCCCTGGAAAATCAGATAATCAAGGAAGTCAAATACCGTGAAATGAGTGAGCCGGGCCAGAAGCCCACAGGGAGTACAGGAGACCATCACGTGGGAGGCGTGGGCAGGCGGCCCACCCTGCTCTTCCAGACAGGGAAACTGAGGCACTGTGCAAGAGGCAGATGCCCACAGGTGCCAGCAGAGGCTGTCTGTGCCCTGGGACATGGCCACTGACCAGCTCTGACTGTGGTGAGTCCGAGGGCAAGGATGGGTTCAGCTGGGGTGGTGACATCAAGTCGGAGGAGGCGACAGGGCTGGTGGCAAAGGACACACAAAGGACCTGGGGCACGGGGAGCACGAAAGAGCAAGTGCCAGCTGCCCGCTGCCGCACTGCGGAGTCCAGGCTGGTGACCAGGTTTGGCCTGCAGTGGTCATGCTTGCGGCACCCAGGACTCTGGAGCCTAGGGAGCCTCTGGAGCAGCTGGCTGGAGCAATCTCCAGTCAGCTCTGCTGAGGGTGGAGATCAAAAGAGGAAATTTGCAAGTTAGATTTACCCTCAATTCCACTAAACCACGCAAAGCTGCTGCGGGAAAATGGTATTAGGGTCTTAACTCCATGGATGCCGAGACCCAGCCTGCTCGGCCCTCCCTGCCCGCCTATGGGAAACCCCAGAGGATGCAAGGTGATGGACAGGGCCAGAGCGGGCAGCTGTCACCAGAGAGGGCAGCTGTCACCAGAGAGAGGGCTGCAGAGGGAAGGAGGGCGCAGGGAGTAGGAAGGAGGGTGAAAGGGGGAGAAGGCCAGAATCACTGTCTAGGAGTCTGTCCTCCATCACTTAACATCAGCTCAGCGCCCTGGACCCCCATCAAGGACTGGAGCCTGCCTAAGGTTAGGGGTGTAGACCTGGCCAGATTGGCTGGGCTTGGATCTTGGCTTAGTTCCTTCCCAGCTGTATGACCTTCGGTGAGTGACCCAAGCCCTCTGTGCTTGGACGGAACCGGATGAGACACCTCAGAGATCTCAGAGCAGTCTCCACTGCAGCAACTCTTGGCCACTGACCCAAAAGTGGACAGGGCTCAGAAGCAGCAGGAGGAGTCTCAGATGGTCCTGGAAGCCCTGGGCATGACCCAAAGCCACGTGTGGGGATGTTTTTCTGAACAGAGGGGGTCCTTGTCCAGTCAGCTCAGTCTCGTGGGCCTGGGCCTAGACCCGCTGTGCTGTGCAAAGGAGTCACCAGCCTCGGGTCCCCATCTGCACCCAGCTCTTGGGGGTTCCTTGCTGGGAGGTCCCACTCACCAGCCACAGGCACCCACACAAGGGGAGCCCCAGTGCAGAGGGGAAGGGGTCTGAGGCCAGCACTCTTATTTCCCCCTGGCAGTGCGGTAGGAAGCCAGGCTAAGCTGCCTCCTCGGCCCTTGCTATTATTATTATTTTTTATTTCCAGACACAAAATTGACTAAATTGCCCAAGCTGAGCTCAAACTTCTGACCCTCCTGCCTCAGCCTCCCAGGGTGCTGGGATGACAGGCATGCACCACCACGCCTGGCTCCAGGGGTAATTATTATTATTTGTTTGATTAATTTTTTTAAGGCTGAGACAACCCCACATTTTGTATCCAACACCAGCTCCCTGCTCAGACTTAGGGGAAGAACAAAACACATTTCAGAGCCACGCTGTGGATAATATCCTGAAAATAATCCTCCAGTCCCAAACACGACTCAACGACCCACAGCCAGCTGATGCCTGTCCTCGGCAGGCAGACGGTGCATCTAGGAGCGGTGGACACCCACCCTCGGCCTGAGACACCTTGGGCCCAGTCGCCCCCTGGACAATTCAATGATTTGAACGAGCTTCCTATGATGATTCAATCATAGAGCGAGAAGCAAGCGCGGAAGAGCCTGCACGGTGCAGAGCTGATGTAAACCAACAAGAAAATATAAAACCCACCCCAGCACGCGCGCCGGGGTTTGAGAGCAGAAGCCCAGTCCTGCCCCTGAAGGCGGGTCCTGGAAACTGGGTTAGCGGCCTAGTGGGCGGGGCCTGGAGGCGGGCGGGGCTTCAGTGCTTATCCGCCCCCTGCTACGCGGTGTAGTGGGCATGCGCAGTCCAGTCACTCAGGAGCGGTTAGGCGAAGTCCTCAGAGGGGCTTTGCTGGCCCTGACCTTTGGGCTGATGCCAGCCACGTCGGTCCCCTGAGGACCCGTGACAACATTTGGGGGCACAGGCAAGACAAAGGCCACTCCTGGCGGCCCTCCGTGGGGCCCCCGCTGGGCATCTGCTGCTTTTTAGTCCCGCTACACGGTCTGCAGAGTTCAGGGTGAAGTGGGACCCGAACCAGACAGCAGAGCAGGAGCCAGCGCGGGGTCCTGGGCCTGCGGGGTCACAGCCCGTGGGGAGGGGGCACGGTGGGAACCCGGATGCCTCCATCACAGGGTCCAGCACAGAGCCGGACAGGACAGCTGGCCGTCACCAAAGTGTTCTGAAGTCGGGCGTGGTGGTGCATGCCTGTGATCGCAGGACTCTGGGAGGCTGAGGCAGGAGGGTAATAAATTCCAGCCCAACCTGGGCAATTTAGCGACTTAGCAAGACCCCCGACTCAATATAAAAGGCGGCGGAAGTGGGTCCAGGGAGCAGGCCTCAAGATTTAGCTCAGCGTATAGGCCCTGGGTTCGATCCCCACTAGCATAAAACGAACACTAATGTGGAAGGAATGAGGAGGAGGGAGGGAAGGGGGGAGTGGGTGGAGCTCAGCTCTCAGCAGAGCCCACCCTCGAAGGCTTTGTGCTCTGCGCTGAGGAAAGCCGGATGCCTTCCTGGAGGCTGCCGGTGTCCCCATCACAGCTCCTCTTGTCCCACCTCCTCGGTGCCTGCCCTTTGGACTCTGAGGTCCGGGAGGACGGGTCCCGGGTTCCTCCTGCCCTCACTGGTTCCCACAGTGGGGACAGACATGGTGGGGGGGGTGTTGGAAGTCACAGTCCAGCACGATGCGTGGCCTCTAGTGCCGCAGTGAACTCCAGCAGTGAACTCCAGCCGTATCCCTCTTCCCCGGCGATGTTGCTACTAGGGGCCAAGAAGCTGGTGGGGCTGCCGGAGGAGGTGGCAGGCACGTCTCTCTGTTGCATCCTGGAAAGTGCCAACCTCCTGTCTCTTAGGTATCACGGGGCGGGGGGCAGCGACAGAAGTCAGGGAAGTAGGATGAGGGAAAGGGGACACATGTGCCCGTCTGTCTGGGGCAGGGGGTGCATCCTCCCTCCCGCCCCCGCCCCGTGCTCTGTGCCTCACTGCCGCGTGATCCTTGAAGCAGATTTGGCTTCAGGAGTAACCAAGGTCACCTCCCTGCCCTTCCATTTGTCCTCATTCGGCAGAAAGAGATCTTGCTTCTCTGGACTCTGCTAAGAGGTCACTAATGCCACTCAGGAAGGCCCCACCCTCATGACCCAATGGGCTCCTGAACACCCCACCCACTGCCACCACACTGGGGTCAACGAGTGAGGAGGGGACCCGGATGATCGGCGCTGTAGGAACTGCAGTTGAACGGTCAGTGAGTTGGGGTGGCTCTCCTACCCGGCCCTGGCTTCCCCATCTGCAGACTCCTCACGGTCCCTGTCAGTCCTTCTCCCTGCAGGGCGCCGCCTGCAGCACGGCGCCTCCCTCACTTCCGGCCAGGCCTCTCTGCCTGCCAGCCCCACTTCCGGTCAGGGTTGCCTACCCTGCAGCCTTCCTTTCTCCTGCCGCTCTGCCTGCCCCAAACAGTCCTGCTTTTCCGCGGATCTTCCCCGCATTCTCTCTGCTGTGGGGCAGGAAGGGTCCCCCCCAGCCCGTCCACCGCCCACCGGGTCACGCTGGGGGAAGGAGCCTCAAGGCACTGCCTTCGGTGGGGGGTGCTGAGTTTGATGCCAATTCCAACACTTCGTAACTGCTCCCTTCAGTAAGAGCTGACCCTCCCTGGCCTTGTCCCCCCTTCCCAGGGCTGACAGGCTGAGGACCCTACCGGACCAGAAGGCAGGAAGGGGGCTGGCCCTCTGGAGTGCCCCCTCTCTCCTCCCTCCACACCTCCTTCTCCAAGGAGTAGCTCCAGCTCTGCTCTTGCACGCAGTGAGGGTCACCTTGGTGGATGGACAGGGACTTCTAAAGGGCCATTGAGGACACACTTGTGGCTTCCAGGCGAGCAGGGGTCCCCGACCATGAGGATGGGTGGGGTGGCAGAGCTGGGGTGTGCGATTTGTGTTCCGAACCATGTTGCCCTTCACGGGCCTGGGGTGCTGTGCATGCATCGCTTCTTCTCTGCGTGGCAGGTTGGCGCGTCAGGGTCCCCGCGTGGCGCGCATTACCCATTCGTGGATCCTGTGGCTTGGCGTCCTCTGGTCACAGCCTTTGCAGCAAGCTGGGGACCTGCAGGCTTGGGGCGCGTGGGCTCCCGCAGGCTGGCCACTTTGAGTGACAAACACAAAGCTCCCCCAGACCTCTCAGGTGTGGCCGCGGCCCGTGCAGGTGCAAGAGCCCGGGCCAAAGGGACGCGGGGACTGGAAAGGAAAAGTTTCTGACCTGGAGCTGGAAGCAATGTTTCGGCGACGCCAAAGCCAGGCCAACACTGCCCCCTCGTGGGAGAAACGCGGTGCTGCAGCTGGTGGGCACGCGAGCGGGGGAAACTGAGGCACGAGGAGGGTGAAGGTCCCAGGAGTTGGGGTGGAAAGATCGGCCTCCTTGGGGATCCCCTCCCAGGCGATCCAAGAAATAGCCTGAGCTCGGGGGAGCGGGGTGTGAAAGTTCGGAGATGGGGGTGATGTCAGGGGTGGGATGGGAGTGGGGACCGATTCCTGCTCCTGCCCCGGTGCGCGCCCGCGGGGGCGGCTGCGGCACTGTTCCCAAACCTCCCCGAGCCGGCTTTGTCCAAATCGTTTTTCAGTCTACCCACTGCCTTTCTTCTGGAGCCAAGGCGCCTCTCCAAAAAAAGCCTTGGTCAGCCGCAGCCCAAGGTCACCACCAACCCCTGGCTGTCCAGTGCCAGCCACTAGGAGCGACCCAGGCTTCCAAGGAGCCAGGTGCCTGCTGTGATTTTGAATTCCCTCCCTGGCTGTGTCCTCGCTGGTCAGGAGGTGGTGACAAAGAGCTGGATCAGGGCCCAGGGATGGGCGCCAAGGACAGGGAGAAGGGGGCCCAAAATCTGTCCAGGGGTGGCAGAGTGGGGGCGTAGTTCACTGTTCCTGGACTCCCCATGTGGCAGGCGCCTCCTTCAGGTATGGGCAGATCTGGGTGCACAGATGCTGGGAGGTCCAGGCACAGACCCTGGCAAACCCAGCTGTAATTCTACCTTGTTCCTCCTCCAGCCCAAGAACCCCCAGAGACCCCCAAAACAGGCACCAGACAGGCTTGTACTGTATGTGAGAACTAGTGGCAGATCCCAGCCACCTGGGATGTACTTTTATTTGTAGGCTGAGGCAGGACGCTCCTTACTGCCCTGCTGGCACGCAGCCTCAGCTGGGGTGCCCGTGGGCACTCAGAGTTGCAGGAGGCAGGAAGAGCTAGTAGCCCCTAGGGTAGCCGCGCTTCAGGATGGACTGCAGCACGAGGTTGGGCAGAAAGGGTTCCTATGGAGAAGAGGAGGGTGGCTGGTCACCACCAGGGACCTCGGGAGACTCAGGGGCCTGCCAGGGCCTATGGCTTCTGCATTAAAGTCAAGTGGGTGGGTGGGTGCTGCTGCAGGCCTATTTTGTGGGAGTTTTGGCCCTGTTTTGTTTTGTTTTGGTTTTGTCTTTTGAGATAGGTGGGGCCTCCCTATGCAGCCAAGGTTGGCCTCAAACTCACTGTTATCCTCCTGTCTCAGCCTCTCAAGTGCTGGGATTATAAGTATGTACTACCACCTCTGGCTTGTGGGCCCATTTTACAGATGAGGAACAAAACAGCCAGGTCCCTGGCCTTAAGAAGGAAGCAGGCTTAGAGGGAGCCTACCCTCTAAGCTGTGGTGTCCCTAACTTTGAGGGACTGTGGCCTCCACAAGCCCCCATAGCTGCGCCCCTGCCAGGCCTCTGGGCAGGAATGCACGGGACCAGCTGGAGTCGGTGCTCACTGGCTTATGGCTCCAGGAGTAGGGTGACCTGTCCATTTGTTCCAGGAAGCTTCGGGTGTCCAAGAGGCCCTGAAGGTTCCTCCATGGCCTCGTCGTGGTGGCCCTGGGGGTGAAGGGCAGACTGCTGTTGAGGGATGAGCTCTTAAAGAGGTGGCCCTGCAGCTCCTGGGCAGCCCTGGGGGAGACCGGAATCTGTGAGCTTTGAGCACCCCAGAGTGCTAGGCCTGTGGATGGGGGTGGGGGATGCAAGGCAGGGGGCCTCACAGGCCTGGTTGGGCCCAGCAGGGAGAGCTGGCCGTGGTGTCCTCTCTGGCCCAGGAATACTCAGCTTTGGGCAAACCATCCTGCCACCTCCCGAAGCTCTGGAACCCTGGCCTGGACACCGACTCCGCTGGTGGGGTGGCAGGCCTGTTCTGGGCTGCAGGGGACAGAGCACCAGTAAGTTCTCTACTCCAGGGGAGCTGCTGGCACCCCCGCCCTCCTCTCCTCCTTCTCTCTCCAGCTGACACAGAACCCCGTCTCCATGGCAACCCCAGGCTTCCCCAGGCCTCTGCCTGCCTCCAGAGAAGCTTTGGGTATTCAAACTCTCCTGTGACTATTTCTGCCGTTGCTCCCCAAGCTCTTCCTCCAGCACCCCCATTCCTGCTTCAGCCCCAAACAGACCCCTGTCTGGCAGCAGAAGCCCAGTCACCCCCATAGAAATCCTGGAGAGGAGGCCAAGTCCTGAGGGAATGGCATCTCGGGGCTGGGAGGCCTTCTTGCCCCAAAGCTGCCACTCGGGCTGGTCAGGGACCCAAAGTGCCCCAGCAGGTGACTGGAGAGGGGAAGGCCGGGCCCCAGAGCCCTGGGTGGGGTCACAGCTGCTGGTGGCGTGATGCAGTGGAAGCATCACCCCTCTGCCACGGCGTGAAACTGTCTGTCTCAGCCTTGCTCTGTCCTTGTATTGGGGCAGGGGTCACGCCGGCTCCTCCCTGTTCCTGGCTTCTATGGCAGCTCCACAAGACCCTTGTGCCTCGGTTTCCCCATAAACAAACAGGGGTGGAGCAAAAAGCACAGTTTGATATCTAGTTCCTGAGAGTCTGGGGGCTGGGGGAGGTTCCCTTCCTGAATCAGCAGGCATCCTGGATCTATGTGGGGCTGCACGGAAGGGATTCCTGGAATTGTACCCAGGAGCTACTCAGTGAATCGCTGCTGGGAGCCAACTCGGGAGGCCTGGGGGCCCCTGGCCCAGGGAAGAGATGGGGGCTCAGCAGTGATTATTCCTGGCCAGGGTCTCTGCTTCTTTTTGCAACCCAGTTGGGGCAGCTTTTTCAAAACAGACACCCTCGAACCTATCCCCAGAGGGCTGAGCTCGGGACACCTGCCTGGGGGCCTAGGCCCGGGCTGTGTCCCTGCAGGACACCAGTGCCCACATCCCCTTCTCCACCTTTCTGGGCACATCCTCTGCTAGCCCCTGAGGTCAGCCTTCAAGGACAGAAGACAGTCAGCAGAAGGTGGACCGTGGCCAGGCCTGGCAGCCACTTCTGCTGGCTCTCAGAGTCCCCGCTTGGTCCTTGAAGCTCACCCTGACACCTTCCAGAAGGGCCAGGGCAGCTGCCTTCTCTGAGGGCCAGTGGGAAGCCCTCCACTCGGGGGGGCTGCAGCCATGGCTTCTGCCCTCTGCATCCCAGGCCACGACTCTCCAGAGTCCCGGGGCACCGTACCAGGTGCCTGTCCCCAGTGTCTACCTGTGCAGTGGCGCTCCAAGTAGCGGAGTGCGCTGTCCGTGAAGCTCTCATCTGCAAATCTCACCCGGTAAGGGCAGCTGCGCCTTCGGGGCCCCAGGCCTTCCCCGGAGGGGTTGGGGTTGGACCTGGCCTCGGGGCCCGGGGCTCCACAGAACCTGCAGAGAGGCCAGGCCAGGGGGTGTGAGCCGGAAAGCCCTACCCAACTCCAACTGGTGTAACCTGCACACCTGCGGGCAGAGGGCTAAGTATGTACTATGCTTCCTGCCACCAAACCCACACGGCTTCCACTTTACTGTGCCCTTTGTTTGTTTGGTTTGGTTTTTTGAGACAAGGATGATGTTATGCACCCCAGGAAGACCCAGAATTCATGGCAACCTTCCTGGCTTAGCCTCATTTCCTGAGTGCTGAGATTACAGCCACCACACTCAGCTATTCCCATTCTACAGACAAGGAAACTGAGGCAGAGAGACTGTGGCAACAAGACCAAAGTCTTGGTAAGGCTGGTAAGGGATGCAGCCAATCTGCAGGTGGTTCTCCAACGAGGGCGCAGAGATGGTAAAAATTCAAACCCAAGATTCAGGCAGCCCTAGGTTTTGATCTTAACTCTTGAGCCTCAGTTTCCTTATCTGTAACATGGAGAGAATCATGGTCCACCCCCACCCCCACCCCCGAGACAGGGTTACAAAGAGACGAAATGCAAAGGCAAATATCGCAAAGTGAGGCCTTCCAAAGACTGCCAGAGGGCCAGGTTCTGCCTGCCCAGGTGTGAGAGTGCAAGTGGCCGGCCCTGCTCTTCTGAGGCCCTGCCCTTCTGAGGCCCTGCCTTTCCAGTGATTGTAGCTTGCAAAAAGGAGGTGCTGCCTTGGCCTGGCTGGCTGGGAGCCTGTGGGTTGGGAATGTGTTTCATCTGTGTTATGGTTTCTGCCTAGATGTCCCCCAAGGCTCCACATGGTCATAGGTGGGGCTTCACAGAGGTGGCTGGATCCGGAGTGTGAAGCTGGAATTGATTCATAGTGTGATGCTGGGTCCACTGGGATCACGGGTGTGATTCCTACCTGCCCTAAATAGTCTGGGAGGATAAAAGGTGCGGAAAGACACTGTTAAGGCCCCTCACTGCCTCTGCCATTTTGCCAGCAATGAACTGTTTCTCTCTGCAATGCCCCTCTGCCATGTGCCACTCTGCCTTGCAGCCTGCCGACTGTGGACTGAAGCCTCTATGAACTGTGAGCCAAATAAACCTTTCCTCCCTTAACTTGTGGGGGCTGGGTATTTTGTCTTAGCAGTGAGAGAAAAGTAACTAAAGCAACCTGTGATCTATTACTGGCATCTGCCTGGAGAGTTCTCAGACTCAGAGAAGAGATGTGCTGTGATCCATTAGTATTGTCTGCCTCAGGCACAGCATGAGAAGGAATGGAATGTGTGCTATGTATTTGTGGCCCCTGGTTTTTAAACTCATGAGCAGTGCTTCGAACCCTTTACCTTTGCCTAAGCCTATTTAAGCTGGAGGCATTTCTGCTGGTTCTTTCTCACCTCCATCAGAGCCCTGGCATGTAGCGCCACATAAGCACAAATAGCTAACCTCTTCTGTCAAGTTCATCTCTTATTTCTCCCAGATTTGACATATACTAAAACCTAATGAAAGTGGGAAGAAGTGGAAAGGATGGAAGACTGAGTGGGTGGGTTGATGGATACATGGGCTGGTAGATGAATCAGTGACAGGGTCTGATAGAAGACTGTATCATGGGTAGATGGGTGGATGATGGATAGATGGATGGATGAGTTCATAGGTGGATGGTTGCAAGGATGCATGGATGGGTGGGTGGATGGATAACCAGATTGTTAGACAGATGGGAATGGGGGTTTGTGGACATCTTCATAACTGGATGAGGATGTGGATAAGGTCCTGGATTTGCAAGAGGTGTAGAGGATTAAGCACTGGATTTCTGGGTGTATGAGAAGGACGGTGGAAGTCTGAATAGACAGTAACTGCCTGGAGGGAAGGATGCAGGGGGGATGGGTGCATGATGGAGAAATTCATGAATAGGTTGTAGAAAACCTGGTTCATGAAAAAGAAGTATGGAAGGAAGAGGGTGAGAAGGATGATAAACATATGAATGGATTCATGGAGGAATTACGAATGTGTTGGTAGAAGACCTGATTATGGATGGATGGATGGATGGATTGATGGATGGATAAATGGATAAGCACATGGGTGAAAGACAGGGAAAGTTAAGCAAGTGAAGACACACCCTCTGCCCACTCCACGCCCCTGCCTTAACTCACAGGCTAGGCTTCCTGACTGTGGGGAGCTCTGAGTGGTCACCCCTCAGGGGTCCCAGGGTAGATTTCTGGTGGTGCAAAATCTTCTCAAGTCTCTCCTGGAAGTCTGACAATTGGTCCCTCGAAGACAAACAGGCCACATGTAGCATGAACAGTCAGCCCCCCCCCCCACCTGGAGGTATCCAAGCCATCCTGCACCACCAAGCAGGTCCCTGACACTCACCGCAGGTCGGGGAGGAACTGGCAGCTGGGACACTGCCGAGCAGAATCCCGCCAGGGCTCGGACACCGGACTTTGACGTGGAGTTGGAGTTGCCGAGGGCATTGGAGCTGGAGGAGGAGGGGTTAGCAGAGAGCTGGGGGCGGTCCTGACTCTAGTGCTTCTACTGGCCTGGTCTAGAGAGGGCTATGAGCTCCAGAGTGGGGACACCAGGACCCGGGGACACCCCCCCCCCCTGCTCATGGGCCTCACTCTCTGCCGGCAGCTCCTCTGCGCACTTGGCCCGCAGGTGGGACAGGAACTCGCGGAATTTGCAGGGGAGCAGCTCTCCCAGGAGCACGCCTACGGGGTCTGGGGTCTCCCTGTCCAGGCCCCTGTGGACAGCTTCCGGCTCCCCGGGCCAGGGGCGTCGCGGGGAGGAGGCCCAGGGCTCGGGTGGCGAGAACAGCGGCGGCAGCACGTGGCACTTCGCCCGTCGGGTCCCTGTGGACAGCACGGGCGGCGAGGGGCTCCTGACGCCCACCCCCAGCCCGACGTCCCTTTCCTGCCACCACGAGGAGCTGCCGCCCAGCACCCGCGAGATCCCCGGACCCCCCGCACCCCGGGCCGCCCAGAGCTCGGGCTGGCCCAGCTGGAACAGCTGCGGGGCTCGGCGTCGGAAGTCGCCTGTGGCGCGAGGACACCTGTCGGGCGCCACCATGTGGGCGCCGGGGCGCAGGGGGCGCAGGAACATGGCCGGGGCGGGGCCCTCAGCGCAGCGCAGCCTGCAGCCGGGGCGGGCGCGCGTGGGGCGCAGGCACCGAGCCTTCCCGGGCCATCGTGCCGAGTGTGGCGCCCAGAGCTCGGGGCAGTGCGCCGGCGGGCTCCGTGGACAGCGAGCGAGTGGCTTCTGGTGACAGCCTGCGCGGCACCTGTTTCCTCACCCGGAAAAGGGTGACCTCCGGGGGGCGCTGTGACGTTCACTTTAGCCAGTACGTGTCAGGGTCTTGCTCATGACATTGCCGGGCACGTGGCACATGCTCAACAAAGACGACCTGCCGTCACTCTTCCTGCTAAAAAACTCATAGTCGGGTATGGTGGTGCATGCCTGCAGTCCCAGCACTCTGGAGGCTGAGGCAGGAGGATTGCCACCAGTTCAAGGCCAGCCTGGACTACACAGTGAGTTTAAGGCCAGCCTGAGCCACATAGCCAAACCTTGTCTCAAAAAACCAAAAAAAAAAAAAAAAAAAAAAAAGTATATATTGCCAGGGGTGGTGGAGTACATCTGTCATTCCAGGATTTGGGAGCCTGAGGCAAGAGGATCCACTATGAGTTCCAAGACCAGCCTGGATTACACAGGTATAATTTACCTCGAAAAATAAATACATAAATAAATAATAAAGGCTGGGGATGTGGCTCAGTGTGGAAAAGCCGGCATTCAACCCCCAGTACCACAAAACAGGCGAATTTCTTTATTCATGTTTTGTTTGGTTTAGTTTGGTTTGGTACAGGGATCAAACTCACAACCTTGCGCTTACCCAGCAAACGCTTGAATCGCTGAGCTAAATCCCCAGGCCCCTGTTTTGTTTTTTGAGACAGCCTCTGGAACCCCTATGGGGTTCCAGGGTGCATCACCATACCGGGCTAACACGCAGGCAGTTATTTAGGGTTACATCCGGGCTCCACTCCTTACCAGGCTTCCAACCTGGAGCAAGGCTGAGAACTCCTCCTGTCCGCCCTCAGAGCGTGGGCAGCAGCGCGGCTCCTCCCAGGCCTGAGGGCCTCTGGGTCTCCCTCCCACCCAATTCAGCTAGAGGGGGCCAGGAGGCCTTGAGATGGCTTTCTTTTTCCAGTATTGGGGATGGAAGCTGGGTCTCAGCCAGGTCTCAGCCGCCCTAAGGCAAGGCCTCCATAGGCAACGACACCCCCAACCTGAACGCACAGTTTTAACAAACTCCTTTTAGGGAGGCAGTGGTCCAGTCTTCCCTGAAACCCAACCGTGGTGTGGGGCGGTGTCTCTGGCCCACTTCTGCCTCCTGAGTGCTGGGATGAGTGCTGGGATCATAGGTGTGAGTTAGTCTTTTATTTTTTTATTACTTTTTCTTTTTTTTGGTACCGGGGATTGAATTTATGACCTCGTGTTTACCAGGCAAGCGCTTGAGCCACTGAGCTAAATCCCCAAACCCCGTTAGTCTTTTTAACAGCTTCGGCTTCCTGAAAGCCCCCAGCAAGCGCTGGGCTGAAGGCTACAACCCGAGCAATTCTGACAAGCATGTGGCAGCAGAGGCCAAATCTGCAGCCTCAGACTGAACCCGTGTACATGCTGGAGGCGAGATCACACTTCGCGGCTTCTTTAAATCCTGAAATCGGGGCGGTCCTTGCACTCAAAAAAAGAAAATTCAGAGAGCCGCCCCGGCTCGAGCCCGCGGTTGGGGCTAAACAACGTGGGAGCGTGGCAATCCGGCAACGGGGCGGGGCTACTGTCGGTCACGCCTCTCGGGCCCGGAAGTGACGTTTACGGACGGAGGCAGCGCGTGCCAGGTGGTGTCACGTCTGGTCGCGGAGTAGCGGAGCTGTAGCCGCCTTCGCCCTCCCTCTCCTGCGTCCTTCTGTCCGGTCCCGGGAGGCCCCGCCCGGGGTGAGTAGCGCGAGAAGGACGGAGGGGAGCGGCCGCCTGGAGAAAAGAGAGCCCGACCCCAACTGCCTCAGCGCCCGGGCCTCGCTCCCTCCCGCGTCCTGGCTCCCCGGCGCGTGCGCGTCGCCGGCTCGGGCCCCACGTGTGTGTCTCTGGAGATTCGGCCGGACCTCGGCTGGGACAGAGGGAACCACGGGGAGGAGGAGGAGAGCCAGGCTGTCCAAGCACTGAGCCTCAGTTTCCCCTCAGAGACTCGGTGATGAAAGCGCCGCTGGAAGACCGGGTGCGAGGGATCTGAGACATGCCCGGCTCCGCCCGAGTGCTGCAGATGCTATCATTTAACCCCGGGCACAGGTGCAGCTTGAAAGGACAGTTTTCACCAAAGCCCTCTGGGTTGAGGTCAGTAGGTTCGCAGGGATGGAGTACTGAAAGGCCTAGACTTTGCCACCCACAGCAGTGCGAGTTGTGCTCTTTGGTTTCTCTGTGCTATAAAGAATTAAAACAGCCCGGGGCCAGGCCCTGGCAGTGGGCTAGGCTGGGAAGTGGACAATGGCAGAGCCCCCTGAGCCCCCGTGTAGTTTTAAGGCATAGTACTTGGGTTTTTCTGTCTGTATACTGAGGACTTTGGGTTGGGGATGCATATAGAAAGTTCCTATGGAGTCCAGAGGTCATATGGTCTTGAGGACGTTTATTTCTGTGTTGTTTGCAGGGGCACGGTCTCCCTAAGTAATTCAGGCTGGAGATCCTCCTGCCTCAGCCTCCCAAGTGCTACGATTACAAAAGTGTACTACCATGCCTTGTCCAGAACAAGGTCTTAATCTACAGTGATACTAGGTTTACATGGGGGAAGCTCACCCTCCGCCTGCCGATTTGAGGTGTTGGAGGCCAGGAGTTCCTGCATGCCACAGTGTATATAGAATTCAGGGTGTTTTTGTTATTTGCTGCTCCTAACTGGCAGGGCTGACAGGGACCTCATTTGAGGTCTCAGCTCACTAGAGAACAGTGCTTGGCGCTGCAAGAAGCACCTTGGTCTTCCCTGTAAATATCCACCTGCTCTCCACACTGTCTGTGCTCCCACTGGGAGTCAGCGAACAGGAGGGCGAGGCCAGGGCTTCTCCAGGCCTGCGCAGCTGGCGCATATAACTGACTCAGACGTGGCGCCTCTGACTCTGCTGGGCCTTGTTTTCTTTTTAAGTCTTACCAATTTTATTTTGCATTTGTTTTTCAGTCCTTCATTGTGTTTTGTTTGCAGTGCTGGGGTTTGTACCTGGGACCTCCAAATTGAGCTACATTCTCAGCCGTTTTTTAGTTTTTGAATCAAGCTCTTGCCAATTCAAAATGTTACCCAGTCTGGATTCAGACTTGGCAGTCTTCCTGCCTCAGCCTCCCGGAGTCCTGGGGTTACAGATGTGCACCACCACAGCCTATGTTGTTGTTGTTATGTTTGAGACAGGGTCTTTCTATGTAGCACAGGCTGGTCTTGAACTTGTGGCATTCCTCCTGCCTCAGCCTGTGGAGTGCTGAGATTATGTGTATGTCATCACTTCCCGCTTTGTTTGCATTTTTTGAGGCAGGGCGATACTGTATAGTTGGCTTTGCACTCTCAACCCTCCTGCCTCAGCCTCCTGAGTGCCATTACGCCTGCCCTTTTTTCTTTCCAGGTGCTGTCCACAAGATTCAGAGTAGCAGTTAACTTTCAGCACGGTATATCTCCCGTTGCTTTCAGACTTTCTTAAGAATGTGGCATAGGGAGATTGAGGTGACTGTGCACAAGTCTGTGGGTGACAGTACAGGCACAGCCAGATGGTAGCCCTGGGCTCGCTGGGCCCTGTGGCTTCTCATCGTGCTGAGGGGAGAGTCCTGTAGGTTACACCCCTTCACCTGCCCAGCCTTGCTGCCCTTTGACATCTAGGGACTGGAATGTCCCACCAGGCAGCCCTGAGCCCCCAGGGCCACATGTGGGCAGGACAGGGGTCCCGTTTCCTCGGGAGGCAGTGTTGGCACTCCTGCCTTGCCTTGCCATTTCCCGGCCACCAGGCCCCCCAGGTCATTCCTAGCATCTGGGCAAGTGGATTCTTGTGAATCAGGTTGTGCGGGGACCTTGACATTTATAGCGGTCAGGCACATGGGCCAGAGTAGCCCTCGGCTTTCTCCAAGTGTGGAGGCTGGACTTATGTCCTAGGGTTTCCTTAGAAGTAGAAAATGGTCATGGCTGCATGAAACCCCTTCCGTCCATCACCAGCAGCCAGTTAGCAAACACCCACCTTGAACTGGGCCCCAGGGGACTTGGAGATGCACAGGGTCCTTGACCCTGTCCCGGAGGTTGGTCTGTCTGCTCAAATTGTTCTGGTGTTTGCTCCTGAGTGAACTTTTTGTTGGATACTCAGGTGCCACGGAGAGTAGGGACAGGAGAGCAGTGCAGTCCTGCATCTCGGGGTGTTGGTGTTGCCATCACCCTCGCAGAGCTTCCAGTCCAGTGGGGAGGAACAGCTGAAGTTCCCTGGGCCACCGCTGGCAGCAAGTAGGGACAGGGCTGGTGGCGCACTGTCCTCTCTGGCGATCTCACCATGGCACAGATCGGGCAGCCCACTTGGCCTTGCACCATCAGACCTACCCAGTGACAGGGTGACACTGGGGCTGGCAGGCACTTCCTGCGCTCTCTCCACAGGGGTTGGCAGCTTCCACATCACGCTCCCCATGTCCCCCAGGGTGGGGCGAGGGGCACGATACCCCTTCTGCCCCCCAAGCTGTGGGTCCAGGACACCTGTGGGGAGCAGTGTGGTGGGCCCATGGACAGCGTGATCTGAGGTCCATGGCCTGTCCTGGGACCCCTGCTGCCCCCTCTGAGCTCTGGAGTCTGAGATGTGGCCGGGCTGGGGCTGTGGGTGGGCTGAAGAACCCTAGGTTTTATATGGCTTCCCTGTGGGTGCAGTGAAGGTCACAGGCCTTGCAGGCCAGCCTGGTGGGGCATGAGCCATGGGCAGCTGTCAGCACGCCACTGTGTAACCTTGTCCCTGAGGAATGTCAGGCCCAAAGCTGGAGTGGGCTGAGGGGAACACCTGCCTTGCACCCCACTGCCTGCCCGGGGGCAGGATCTTGGTCAAGGCTGGTGTACTGCTTCTGAAAAGGTTCTTCAGGAAGCGTTCAGGCTGCTTCTGGAAGGCTCCTCAGGAGGCGTTCAGGCACAGCCGTGTGTGCGTGGGGCTGGCAGGGAGGAGGGGGCTGGCTCTGAGCTGGGAGTCCTGAGTCCCTTTCCTTTCCTGACTTCTGAGGCCCTCACACTTATGGCCTTTTTTCTCTTCTCTTTTCTTCTTTCTCCTTTACTTGTTTTCCTTTCCTTTCTCCATTCTTTTTTTTTCTTCCCTAGGCTGGTAACCTGGAACCGAAGCCAGGGCCTTTGCACTAAGCTACATCCCCAGCCCTTCTTTGTCTTTTATCTTGAGATGGTCTCCCTAAATTGCCTGGGCAGGACTCACACTTGTGAGATTGTCTTGCCTCAGCCTCCCAGAGTGCTGGGATTACAGACATGCACCACCATGCCCAGCTAGGCCTTTTCTTTTACTTGTCCTTAAGCCACGTCCCAGAGCTGTGTGTGGATTCCCCATGGATCCAGGACTGGTGGCTTCCCGCCGGGGCTGTGCAGAGGTGGCTGCAGAGAAACCCCGCTTCCACTCCTGCCTGGGCTCCATCGCTTTCCTCCTGAGCCTCTGCTGAGACCCGAGGTGAACAGAGGAGGCACAGGAAGTGAGGAGATGGCAGGTGGCGGGAAGCTCCCAGAGTGGGCAGGGGGCCCGTGGCAGGGAGCGGCCCCAGGAAGCGCAGGCCGCCACGCATGGCTGCTGCCACCACTCTGCTCTTCAACTCAGGTGATAGGCTTCCCGCTGGTGATAACCTTGGTGTCCTCAGGGCCACCAGAACAGGCCACCTGCCTTCCCAGACTCCACATGCTCCCTGCCATTGTCCCCTCCGGCCACGCTGTGATGCTGCTATGCTCAGCACAGCCGCGCGCTGAGCGTTCCTCCCTTGCTAGGCTCTGCTCTAGTCACCTATCTGGGCCGTGGCACCTGCCACTTGGAAGGGCCCCTGTCCCTTAGTTTTTCTACTGTCTGGCTGCCATCCTGCACCGGAAGCGCTGCGGGGTCAGGGCTTGAACTCGGCCACACTCTGGCAGCCAGGTGGGGGTGAGCGGTCCTTTTTCCTCCAGGACCTCAAGGCTGGGCTGCTGAGGGCCACTGAACCTGGACCACTCTCCTGAGGATGCTGGACGGTGGCCCCATTGCCGCAGCCCAGAGGTAGCTCCATGGTCCCCTCTGTCACCAGCTGCCCTTGTGCCCCTTGGGCTGCACAGTGGCCAGCACAGTTGAGACCCTGGGCCAGGTCTGCACTACCGAGTGAGACTGTGACCTGGGCTTCCACCTGCCTGGCTGCCCCATGCTCTGTCCACTGCCCATCGCGGCAGAACACTGACCTCCTGCATGCTTTCCCATCCTCTCAGACCTCCTACATCAGGCCTTGTGCTGGGCCGGTTCTGGGCACAGCTCTGCAGCTTGTGTCCCTGTCCTCCATGTGGCCCAGGGCTCCTGTCAGGGGCTCGAGCCCCAGTTACACACAGATCCGTGCACACAGCCTGCCCTGCCCTCACATGATGGCGTTCCGCCAAGTGATGCAGCGTAGGGGACAGAGGCCCTGCTGGCCACAGGGCAGAACATGGGTTGAAGACCCCGGCCAGTCCCTGGGATTGGACAGGCGTGCAGCCCTCTTCCGCATGGCTGCTGACACCTCTGTCTCATGTCAGGAGAGCGCCCTGCCTGGGGCTGGTGGCAGTATGACAAGCCAGGTGATCGAGGACGAGCAGCAGTTCTACTCCCGGGCACAGAGCTACTGGAAGCGCGTCCCGCCCACAGTGGATGGCATGCTGGGCGGCTATGGCCACATCTCCAGCCTGGATCTCAGCAGCTCCCGGAAGTTCCTGCAGCGGTTCCTGCGGGTAGGTGGGGCCCTTGGGAGAGGGTTCTGCTCCAGGGGGCTGCGGGGCAGCGCATAGGTAGACCTGGGGATGGACCGGGCCAGGCTGGGGTGACACCCTGGCCCCTATGACTGCCCACTTCGGCCAGACTCAGCTGTCCAGCAGGGTCTGTGGTGTCAGTGCTAGTGACTGCAGGATATGGGCCTGCTCGTGAATCCCTGAAGAGTGCAGGTGGCCACATCGGCCCATTCTGCCCCCGAAGTCCGTCAGTCTTGCCCATGGTGTACACCTCCTGCCACTCCTCCCCTCTGTCCACACTGTGCCCTCGTTTCCCTGGGTTCGAGGAGGGAGAGATCATCAGTGCCTGTGTCTGAGTCGAAGCTGACCTTCATTCTGGAAATTCAAGGCCTGGCCAGGTGCAGTGGTGCACAGCTGTAACCCCAGCTGCTTGGGAGGCTGAAGCAGGAGGAGGATCACAAGTTTGAGTCCAGCCTGAGCAACTTCATGAGGCCCTGTCTATAGCTTCAATTTAAAAATGCCTAGGGGCTGGGGATTTAGCTCAGCGGCATAAGCACCTGCCTTGCAAGCAGGCGGTTGTTAGTTCGATCCCTGGTACCGATAAAAAAAGGAAAAGGCAAAAAAAAAAAAAAAAAAAAAAGAATAAAAATGCCTGGAGGATCTGAGTGATAATACATGAGGCTCCAGGTTCTACCCTAGTGGGGAGTGCAATGCCTAGAGGACTCACCCCCTCCCAGTCTCCTGGCTGGCTGGTGCTGGGTCCTTTCCCACCTATGTGCATGGCAGGGCCCCAGGAGTCACGTGTCCCCTCTGCTCTCCAGGAAGGCCCGAACAAGCCAGGAACCTCCTGCGCCCTGGACTGTGGGGCCGGCATAGGACGGATCACCAAGCGGCTGCTCCTGCCTCTCTTCGAGGTGGTGGACATGGTGGACGTCACGGAGGACTTTCTGGCCAAGGCCAAGACCTACTTGGGGGAAGAGGGCAAGAGGGTGAGGAACTACTTCTGCTGTGGCCTGCAGGACTTCAGCCCTGAGCCCGGCTCCTATGACGTCATCTGGATCCAGTGGGTGATAGGTGAGGGGCCCTGCCCTCCCGCCTTGGCCTCTGTTGGTTCTGAGACAGCTTGCCATGTACCCTTGTACTGTTCACAGTTGGCCTTGAACTGGTGCTAGTGCTCCTGCCTCAGCCTCCTGAGTGCCAGGATGCCAGCCATGTACCACCGTGCCTGGCTAGGGGCAGTTTTCTGCTAAGAAATTGTGAGCAATGACCTGCTGCATTCCGAGAAAGGAAGCCCAGCCTTCAGGGGTCTCGGGGTTGAAGACAGCCACCCAAGCTTTGCTGCCTCCTGTCATGCTCCCACCTGGCCTCACAGCTCACCTGGAGTGCTGTCCCTGACTGCCCACCCCCGCCACAGTTAGACCAGGCCCAGCAGGGAATGGGGTATGGGGCATGGGAAAGGAACCCCGCCCGCCAGGCTAAACCCCAGTGCATACTTTGTGCGGGTAACTTAGGGTCTTTTGTCCTGAGGGTTGAATGCAGGGCCTTCGCACTGAACCACACCCCAGCCCTTCATTTCTGAGCTAGGGTCTGGCTGAGTTGGCCAGGGTAGCCTCTTGGCACCTCCTGCCTCAGTCTCCCATAGTGCTGGGATGACTGGCGTGCCCACCACACCCTGATGCGGCCAAGTGAGCAGGTGACCTGTAAGGAAGCCCATCCCTTACACCACACCCCCATAACTGCCTCTGCCCTCCTCAGGCCACCTGACCGACCAGCACCTGGCTGAGTTCCTACGGCGCTGCAAGCGCGGCCTGCGCCCCAATGGTCTCATTGTCATCAAGGACAACATGGCCCAGGAGGGTGTGATCCTGGACGATGTGGACAGCAGCGTATGCCGCGACCTCCAGGTGGTGCACAGGATTGTGCGCAGCGCAGGCCTCAGCCTCCTGGCCGAAGAGCGGCAGGAGAACCTCCCGGATGAGATCTACCACGTGTACAGCCTGGCGCTGAGATGAGCCGCTGGGCCGGCAGCTTGCTTGGGTGTGGACAGCATTAAGTACACCTGTGCTGCCCATCTGCGCCAAACTTCTCTCCTTGCCAGGCAGCAGGCAGTGGGTCACTTCGAGAGGCCCACAGCCTGGCTGTGCAGACTGGTAGTGGGGAAGGTGTGGTCAGTGTTCAGGAAGCTCGAGCCATGCTGCACACCTGGGCTTCCCATCCAGGGAGCCAAGCACACCCTTCTGGTGACAGGACGCTGCTGTCCCTAAAGGGGTGGGCACAACAGCCTGAGGCTGGGGGAGATATGTATGGCTACTACTGCACTTGGGGGCTCCCCCTTGGTGGCACTTTCAGTCAGAAATAAAAGGTTGCATCCCTGTACTGTGGTGGCCCAAGCCAGTGCTCTGTGGGAATGAGTGCCAGGCCCCAGGGCAGCTGTCCCCGAATGTCATGTCTCCCAATCCCTACCAGCACGGGGTTGGGTGGGGGGGTACCCAGAAGGTGACACAAGGACCCCAAGTCCAAGATAATCGTTTAATCTGTGATATAAATATATCGCTTAGCAGCCTGGGCTCTTCCAGAGGCTTCTCCACAATTCCCCAGGACTGACCGACCAACCAACAGACCTCGTGGCCCGGAAGTGGCTTGAGGGTTTGGTGCTGGGCAGTTAACAGGCCTAGTGGTCAGCTGTGGGGAGCCTGGGAAAAGACTGTCCTGCCACTGCCCAGCAGAAGGCATCGTCCCCAGACTTGGAGGGCGGGGGAGGGGTCCCAGATACATCTGAGATGACCAGCCTGGGGTGGCCCTGGGTACCTTCTCCCTGCACACCAAAAGCATTTCCACAAGTGACAGTCTGGAGCAGAGGCGCAGGACCTGGCTTCCTTGCAGGCTCACTGTGTCCCACTGGGGACCTGGGACTCCAGCCACAGCTCAGGGTACTCGACTCCATGCCGCCTGCTTCTGTAAATGCCTAGATGCCCCCATGCCACGAGGGAGGGGGGGCTGGCTCCCCAGGAGACAGAGGCCCCTCCCCAGGCAGCACTGGTGGACACTGGTGCCTGGCTGGCTCCTGTCAGCTGTCGTCCTCGGCTGCAGCGCTGTGCTCGCTGAGGAGAAACCACTTGAGCCTGTCGGGCAGCGGCAGCGCCTTGACCTTCACGTCCACGGGCCACGGTTGTAAGTGCAGCCGGATGTGTACCCGGCACAGGTGCTTGAGGGATGGGGGGCGGAGTTCCAGCTGCCGCAGGGATCGGTGCAAGGCCTGGATCTTGTCAGCCAGGTTGCCCACCGGGTGGATGTCAAAGTTCGCGGGCAGCTGGAGCCGCCGGGAGTTGGTCACCATGAGGTCCAGCACGGTCTCAGCCTTGCGCAGCAGGTCTGCGTGGCTCTCATCCTCGGCGCAGCCTGGGTGTGAGCAGAGGCGCTCGAAGACGATGTGGAAGCCGGACCAGCAGGACGCACCATGCAGAGAGCAGTTGTAGGCGGCCCCTGACTCCAGCAGGAAGCGCAGGAGCTGGAAGTGCAGCTTGAAGCTCTTGAGGCAGATGTGCGTGAGGGACTCATGGGCCGGGCACTCGCTGGGGTCGGCCCCGTGCGCCAGCAGCAGCTGTGTGACTTGGAAGCAGAATCGGTTGATCATCTGGGCCTCCTCCTTGTCCCCGCCCACGGTCTCCCCGAGCAGGAAAATGATGCAGGTGAACACGGTGTCCCCATCTTTGGTGGTGGCCTTGACATCTGCTCCTGGAAGAGCCATTGGAAGAGCAGAAGATGAGAGGCCACCATCCACCTGGCCGGCAGGGCCGAGGGGTGGGGGCAGAGCCGCAGCCGGGGCGGGCGAAGGGGGCAGCCTCACCTCCCTCCAGCAGGAGCCGGATGTTGTCCGTATTGTGGACCTGCACTCCGTCGCTGCTGGCCAGCGCGTGCAGCAGAGCTGTCTTCCCTGCAGAGGGGACAGAGTGAAGGGAAAGGACTGTCCAGGGCTGGGGTAGGAGAGGCAGTCCTGTGCACCCCAAGTTGCTGCCTGACAGAGCCACTGCTCCTGGGAAGCTGGCACTTAACCATCTCCTCCCAGGATGACCCTGGGGACAATGACTGCACAGCCTCTCCTCTCCAAGGTGGCCACCCTGCCCTAGCTGTGTACCAGCCATGCCAGGCTGTTGGCAGGGGCTGGCGTCCTGCCCTCCACCTAGTGCTCCCACCTGGCTGCCCTGTCCCCATGCCAGCTGTCACCCACGGAACCACCCACCATGCTTGTCGGCCGCGTTGACGTCAGCTCCCAGCTCCAACAGGCGCTGCAGGCATGGCAGGCGCTCAGGCTCTTCACTGGCCAGGTCCAGAGGGCTGCTCTCGTGGATCTGAGCCCAGAAGCACCAGCCGGGTTGGCCCAGGGGCTGCAGGGCTGCTTGGAACCCCCAGGCCCTGCCCCCCGCAGGCAATGCCCACTCCTACCCGGTCCCTCCGGTTGATGTCAGCCCCATGGTGCACCAGCAGCTCCACCATGTCAGGCTGGTTTCGCAGGACAGCGATGTGCAGGGCTGTGTAGTAGGTGACGGGGTCTACACGAGGTGGTGCTGTGGTCAGCCTGGGCCCAGCCCCAAGGGCTGCACTGAGCCCGCTGGACCTCAGCTTCCTCTCCTGTCTAACAGGGCCATGAACCACTGGGTAAAGCCCACAGTGTGCTGGCTCTCAGGGCCAGGAGCCCAGTGAGGACCTCAGGACCTCCCACCCCCATTCCTAGGAACCAGAGCCCCCAGCCTCTGCACCCTCTCCATGGGGAGAGGACCTGTGTCTCCTCCATGGGGAGAGCCAGCAGAGCCCAGTGGCTCCCAGGGCAGCCCTGCCTGCTGACTCTCTGTCCTCCACCCCAGCTACAACCTCAGGAGGCCAAGGGGGCAACCTGTCATCTTCCCCAGCACCGTCAGCTGGAAGGAAGCCTGCACGCTCCTGCCTCCCCCAAAGGTCTGAGCAGAGTCACCAGAGGGCTCGAGGAACTGGCAGCAGAACAAGGCCTTCCTTCAGTGCAGGCGCGGTGCCAGCAGCCACAGCTCCACTCAGAGAGGTGGGTCACTGTGTCCCCTGCTACACCCAGCACAGGGCCAAGGCAGAGCAGGCTGGCTAGGGGAGAAGCTTCAGGGGCACCAGGAGGTGAGTCCAGCCAGCACCCCAGGGGATGAGGAGGCTGCCCTGCTGACCTTCAAAGTTGAGGTTGGCCCCACTGCGCAGGAGGACGGCAGCCGCCCGTGTGAGCCCCAGCTCAGCCATCTTGAGCAGCGCGCTGCTGACGCCCTCCTGGTAGAATGGGGAGTGGGCCTTCTTCTCCAGCAGCTCTCCGAGGATTCGGAGCCGGCTCTCCTCGCTAGCCACATAGCTGGGCCTGGGGGCGAGAGGGGACTGGCTGAGGGAAGGCGGGAGGCTCTGGGTGGGGTGGTCTTTAGTGCCCTGCAGCAATCACCCTGAAAAGGGCACAGCCTTCCCAAAGAGAATGTGTGACGGCAGAGCTGAACTGACTATCCCTGTCATTCCTGCCCTCCATCCAGCCACCCAATGGGACTGCACTCAGGGCCTCACACGACAAGCAAGTGTCCTAACACTGAGCTGCTTGCCCAGACTTTTTAAACATCGTCCTCTGGAGACAAGATCTCCCTAAGTTGCCCAGGCAGCCTTCGAACCTTCAATTCTCCTGCCTCAGCCTCCGGGGTAGATCACACTACACGCAGGTGCCATCATCTGGCTGACATACACCTCAACCTGCACCAGGCCTCTCCCTTGGGCTTGCTACCAAAGGCGCGGATCTGTTCAGTTGTCTTCGGAGCTCCCCAGAGAACTGGCCTCACACCGGGACCGAGGGGAACCCTGGCGTCCCCGCCCACGGCCAGACTGATGCAGTTTCTCAGGAGGCGCACAGGTCGCTGACCCTCCCGGAGTTGCAGGGTGGCAGGCCCGCCCCGCAGCAGCACCTCCTCCAGCTAAAGCCTTCACACTCCTGCGCTGACCTCCGCCCCCTCCCGGTCAGCACTGACCACTGTGACGGCTGTGCTCCTTCCCCAGTAGTACCAAGCCAGGGCCAGCTCTGAAGCTTGCATGCAGCTCCCACAACGTCCCCAACTCCTTCCCGGCGGTCACCTCCCTCGCTGGGTGAGACGCCCTCATTCGCCCTCCGCTAACCTCACCCATCTGCACTCCTCTGGCTGGCTGCTACAAGTTTCCCCCTTGGCGCAGGGGCAGGAATCAAGCTCCTCGCTCTGCTTCCGTCCCAGCGCTACACAGGCATCTGGACAGAGTTCCTGAGGGGCGCCTGCAGTCCCCCCAAATGCCAAGCGCCCCAGCATCGTCAGCTCCGGAAATACCTTACACTGCACTTTGCAAACTCAGAATGGGCAGAGCTGGCGTGCTGGTGAAGAAGACCTCTGTTGCCACCAAGTCCCCGTGAGACTGCTAATCGCCCCCAGGCTGGAACTCTGGGGACACCCCGCCCCCACGGTTCTCTGCTCCCTGCCACCGCGCCCAGCAGACGGTGTAATTACCCCTGTGCGCACCGCGAATGCCCGGCGCCGCGGACGCTGCACCGGGATGACGCTCCACGCCTTCCCCACACAGCGCGGAGGGTTGGGCTGTCTGCACAAAATGCAAATTCAGCCTCGAAACACTCATCGTCGTCCAGCTCCGGCTTGACAAGAGCCGCGCTCGCGGCCTCCACCCCGCTCCCCTGCACAGGGCGAGGCCCGACGTCGCCCTAGCCTCCGTCCTGCTGCCCCACGGCACAGGCCTGGGTCACTGCCGCGCCGCTCACCCGTCCAGGGGCTCTTGCCGCTCGGGGTCCTGGATTCCCAAGGCGCCCAGGATGGCATCCACCAGCGGCTGGTACTCGAAGATGATCCTCCGGAAGCCGTGCAGGAACGGCATCGCGGCGGCCCGGGTGCGCTGCTGCAGCCACGCCTTCCGCCCTGACCGAGACGCCAGCAGAGCACTTACCGGCTCCACTGGTCCCAGCCCCGCGCCCGTCGGGGTCCACCGCCCAGGCAGCCACAGCGCGCCGGAAGTGATCTTCGAGCGTACTTCCGGTCCGCGCAGACCCGCGAGCGTGCGTGGGCCCACAGCGCCCCCTAAAGGCTCGGAGGACCGCGGCGCTGAGTGCCTGGGGCAGACCGGCCAGGTGTACCCCCAGGTGGCTCACCCGAGCGTGGACGCAGGCACGATTGCAGCCAATCCCAGCCCCAGATGGGCCCGCCTTCCTGCTCCGACCCTGCGGTCCTTCCCTGCCCTGCGATCCCACGCGACGCCGCTAGGCGCTGTCCGAGCTCCGCCCACGGGGAGGGTGGCAGGGAGCTCTGCCCCGCAAACTTCCTTTTGGGAGATGACCATCGCGCCCATCTGATGTCCTGGGTCTGGAGCCCCGAGAGCGTCAGGGAGCGGAGTCCAGCAGCGAGGGCCCCGAGTGGGACTCGGACATTTTCCCTCGGACCGCCGCTTGACCTCGGGGGATCCCCAGGCCCACAACCTAGGCCTGGCTTCGGACTTAGCCCGATCTGGCTCATTGCACAATAAATAACGGGCAGACCCGAACCTCTGCTGCGAACAAAACCGACTTACAAGGAAAGGCCATCTAGGCGCGCTCAGGGCCCACCGTGGTCCCACAGCCAGAGTCCCACAGCCAGGGCGCTGGCAGGGACTGCATAATCGCCCCCTTTGTTACAGTGCAAAGTTGTGAGACCCAGTGACAAGCTGTCACAGTGCACCTGCAGTCAAAACCCCTGAGGCTGCAGGATGCAGTCCGGGGAGGTACCCAATGAAGTCCCTTCCGGCTGTGCCAGCTTGGGCTTCCCATGGCAACTTCTGGCCACGCCTGTGCAAAGCCACGGTGGACATTCCCTAAGAAAATAGCACAGCTCCCGCTTGCTGTCAGCTGCCAGAGACCCTGAGCCTGGGGCACCATCGCCCCTCTCTCCCTCCTCCCTCTGCATTTGTGTGTCTGGGCCTCTGTCCAAATCACATCTTCCTTTCCAGTGACCCCAGTCACTGGACCTGGAGCCCACAAGACTCAGCATGGCCTGGTCCTAACTTGAATGTATTTGCAAGAATTCTCTTCCAAATAAGGCCACTTAACCTTGCATGGTGCAATGTACCTCTGGTCCCTCCAGAGACTGAGGCAGGAGGAGCACTATGAGTTCAAGACCAGGCTACATGGTGAGATGCTGTCTCAAAACCAAACAAAAAACCAAATAAGGGCACTTTCTAGGTACTCAGGCTAGGACTTGAACTTGTTTTTGGAACACAGGACACTATCAAGGCCATTGTATTAGCCAGGTGAGATGATGCATGCCTATAATCCTGGCACTTGGGAGGCTGAGGCAGGAGGATCCCTGGAATTTGAGGCCAACCTGGACTACATAAGTGGGTTCAAGGCCAGGCTGGACTACATAATAAGACCCTGTTTCAAAAAAAAAAAAAAACTAACTAAACAAGGCCATTATAATGGCCACACTGAGCCTGGCCTTCTGGTCTGATGGTGTGTGTAGTTAAGAGCTTCCAATGTCACTTGTGGGCTCTGCCAGCTGAGGGCCAGGGAGGAACCATGACACAGGTGACCGTGTTCATGGAGCCCACAGAGCCAGGCCCTGAAATTGGGACACTTAGGTCCCAGGCCAGCAAAGCTTATTAAGGAAGTGATAGCACATCCCATTTCAGGAGCAAGGAGACTGGCTCAGAGCGGTTTGGGCGCTCACACAACGCTGCACAGCAAAGGGACCTCAGCCTCCCCTTGCAGCCCTTGGCCTACTGGGCCTCTGGGGTCCTCACAGGTCTTCTGGACACGGGATAGGGGAGCTGACTTCTGCCCTCCCACAGAGCTTGGGCACCACCGTGAGGCACAGATTCGATTTGGGGCAGAGGGGCACAGCCTTTGTGCACAAGAAGCTGTCAAAAAATAAATAAAGCCGGGGGCTGGGGATTTAGCTCAGTGGCATAAGCGCCTGCCTTGCAAGCAGGCAGTCGTGAGTTCCATCCCTGGTACCGATAAAAACAAAAAAGACCAAATAAATAAATAAAGCTGGGCGTGGTGGCTCACACCTGTAATCCCAGCACTTGGGAGGCTGAGGCAGGAGGAACAGTGTGAGTTTGAGACCAGTCTGGGCTACAAAGTGAGCTCAAGGCCAACCAGAACTGCACAGCGAGACCCTGTCTTAAAAAAGACAAAAATTAAATAAATAAGTAAATAAAGAGACAATAGGTCAGCTGCTCTGCACCAGTGACAGCAGCTAGCAGCAGGACTTGCTGCCTGTGAGACCCTTGTTGCTCAACAGAGCAAACTGCAGAATAGTGGGCACGGTATGATGGCATCTGGGGGAAGTGTGTGCATCCTGTGTGTACACATGGTATGTGTGTGCATTGTGTGTGTGCATGTGAGTGTGTGTCAATGGTCAGGTTCCATTCTTGAAAGTCCCTTGAGGAGCTCTTGACAAGTTGCTGCCCCTGGAACTCAGGGGCTTTAATCTTCCCATTTCCATGTCTTCTGCCTTTTCTGCAGCGAGTGTTTTTAGGGCTTCAGAAAGAAGGGTCCCCCAAAGACTCATGTGATGAGGGCTTGACCCCCACCAAAGGCTGCATGTTCCAAAGCGGAGCCCAGAGTCCATCAGGAACCCACACATTTGTGAGCTCAGGGCTGAAGGCGGGGCTGAGGGTGTGGTGCAGTTGGCTGAAGCAGCTGGGGAGGCGGCTTGGAAGGGCTCCTCCGGACCCCACTTCTTCCTCTCTGGCTCCTCCTGCTGGCTCCTTCTTGGCCTCCAGCGGGCCCTGCTGCCCCGCTGTCCCCCCTGACACCCTGAGCCCCTCCTCCTCACAGCTGCGTGTCAGGTGAAGGGTGATCTCTGCAAGCGCGTCTTTCCTGAGACTTGAAACCCTGCATCTGCCCCACTGCTCCTCCACCCCTGAGCTGCAGGGGATCAATATGAGGAGAGTCCAGGCCTGCCCTGCCTTCCCCCTCCAACCTCTGACCATGTCCCCAGCAGGTGACTCTGCAGAGGCTTCTGGCACCTCCCTGAGCTGTCTGCTCGGGGTTCCTTGAGTTAGATAGGAGTTCAGCATCCATCAGTCTTGATTCTTCATGACACAGAGGCATTAGTCGTAACAGGACCCCCAAGTCATAGCTAAGAATGCCTTAGAGAGGGGCTCACAGGGGAGTCCCTGCACTGTGGACACCCCAATCTGGCCCTGTCCTCCCTCGCTCTCTGCCTCCCTGTCACCATCTCCCTGTCATCACTGTCTGTGTGTGTCACACACAGACACTCACACACTCACACCCAGGCCGCCGGGCAGCCCCAGGGCGCCCCTTACCCTCTTGGTACCCACATCCCCTCCCGCAGGAGGATGAGGTACAGCCAGGGAGGCCCCCTAGCCGGCTGGGGAGGCACCACCGTCACTGCTGCTACTGAGCAGGCTGCAGTGGGATCGCAAGCTCAAGCCCAACCTGGCCAACTTAGTGAGATTTTGTCACAAAAAAAACATTTTTTAATTATTGTTTTAAAGGATGACAGATACAGCCCAGTGGCAAAGTCCTGGGTTCAACCCCCAGAACTGAAAAAAAGGGGGGCCCTCAAGCCCTCCCATTTGTTTTCTCCTTTACCTTTTCTCTTTTCTTTCTGTCTTTTGGCTGGCAGCCTTCTCACGGGGACATTTGGGAAGCCTGGACTGTTTCCGTCTTCCCCTGGCAGCAGCCTCCGTCCAGAGTCACCCTGGGCAGGTCCGGGAGCACCAGCCACCTTTCAGGTGCCATCACAGGGCCACCACCGCCTGCCATCCTCCTGCTGCACTGCTGTGACCCCAACCCCCCTCCCCACCCTCTTCCCCTACACCCTGACCCTTCAGGAGCAAGGGTCACCAGCTGGAAGCCCCAGCTACTTGGCCCTGTTTGGCCACAAGCTGGAGGGACAGGGTGCCAACCCTCTCAAAAGGAAAGCTGAAGGGCTGGGGATTTAGCTCAGCGGCATAAGCGCCTCCCTTGCAAGCGCACAGTTGTGAGTTCGATCCCTCATACCAAACAAAAAAAAAGGGAAACTGAGGCACTAGGCACTGCAGCAGGAGTTGGGCGGCAGGCCATTGACCAGGCCCGGAAGGACTTTCCTGTCCGATCTTAGTTTGCCCTGCTCAGAGGTGCCAGCAGGGCTCAGGGACCCTGGTGCCTGGAGGTGACAATCCCCGGGACTCTGTGCCCAGGGGTTTCCTGCCTCTGCCTCCCTATTCCCCACAGCCCATAACCTTAAACCTGGCTCCCCTCCCAGCCACCTGGCGCTGGGCTCTGAGAGCCTCTTGGGATGAGTCAGGGACCCCTCATCCTGTGCCACCTCCAGCCCTGCGTCCTCACCGAAGGCTTCCCCTGGACTTCTGGGGCCCCTCAGCCCAAGACAGGAGTAGTCTTGGGCCTCCCTCAGCCCAAGAAGTGGTTCGGGAGTCTAGCAGATGAGGGTGTGGCCTTTGAGCTCACCGGGAGTGGGGAGCAGCCCAGCAAACTGGGGAGGCCTTTGTGTCCAATGCTGGCCACCCTGCCTCGGCCTCTGGCCCAGCCCTGTCCCCTAAGCCACAGTTGTCCTTGGTGGGGCTGCACCAGGAAGATCCGCTGGCTGGTACCAGGCTGCCCGCCCACCCCTCACCCCCATCCCAGAGGCCCTGTGGTGGGGGGCTGGCCTCCATCCTGTCAGGCCGCTCTAGGGACAGAGCTCTGGGAGGGGACTGCTGCGCACCCTCCAGCCCGCCCCCGGGGGCTCTGTCTCCTTGAGGTAGGGGAAGGGAGGGGGAGGTCTCCCCCGTGCTCCGGGCACCCCACCCCCGCCCCGCTTGGCAGGAAGGGCCCGCGGCCATCCGTCAGGGAGACAGAGCAGCCAGCGCTGCCCGAGGAGAGAGCCGAGAAACGTGATCATTAAGAAGCCCTCGCGGCCGTCTGGGGGAATTTAATTAAATTGCTGGGGAGGCTGCGCGGGGCCACATCTGGAACCAATATGCGGGCTGCGAAGCCGCCGCCCGCCCCGCCCCTTCCCGCCGGGCCGCTCAGGGACCCAACCCGGCCTGGGAGCCG